AATAGCTATCTTCTTTTAGTAAGGCGTCATTAGGCATTTTACCACAATCTGTTTTCATTGGGCCCAGCTTAATGCAGTTCCTGTGTCAAAGCTGATGCTGGCGGGTTGATTTTAGTGATACTTCCATATCGGTTTTCTTCTGGCGATGGCTGCTAGGGCAGCAGAGCTCCATGAAAGTTTTAAGGCTCAAATGAGAGAGGATGCCGAAATTTTGGTCCTGGAGGTATTTCCGCAAAGAGTTATTGCCTTCGACGAGGTCCTAAAATTGCCGTTCTTTACCGATCTCTCTCCTGAAAGCCTCTGTTCAAGCACGGTGCCTGCCGAGGACTCCCATATTAACTGTAACAAACACATTGTTGGTATGGTGGATACGCTGAAGCCGATGGTGTCCCGTTTGATGCAAGAAACCAGCCAGGTGCGGATTTGGATCACGCTGCTTATTCCGAAAATAGAAGATGGGAATAATTTTGGTGTATCTATCCAAGAAGAGTCTCTGTTGGAGATTAAGATAGTGGAGGCGCAGGCAGCCGAGTTCATCGAACACGTTCCAGAATATTTTAAAAACCGAGGCAAGGCCGTGTCTAAGACAGTGAAGTACCCGCAGATTCAAGACTACCGAAGACTGGTGAGACAGCTGGATGAGAACGAATACCACTACCTTCGACAAGTGCTGACCGAACTTCGCAACCACTACGCCATTCTGCACGACATCATTACGAAAAACTTGGAGAAAATCAAGGCGCCGCGCTCCACGGCGTTGAATCTGATGAACCTTTGAGCGCAGCTGCGCCTCTTCCAGCTATTTTCCCCACGCCGAGAACCCCGAGTCGGCGTAAGCCATTCAGACCCTCCTTCGGCACTCCCCTATCACTTGAATCCGGGCTAAGGAGTGGGGTAACACACGCTGTTGACACGCGTTCTGGCATATTGCAGCTGTGTTTAATCTCCGTCCCTTGTGTTTGATCTGTGTTTGTCCCCCTCCCCCTCCCCCCGTTGGTACGAATCGAGCCGCGTGGCGCCGCTTCGGTCGACTCTCCACGTCTGCTGCCGTGACGGCGATCATGGGATGCAGCCAATATATGCAGCAAATACGTTCAACAGTGCTAGATGCTTGCGGCGTACGGTACGCACTTCCCGCACACGGAGCTTCCCCGCACCGTGTACGGATTACTTAGTCACTGCCTACGAAGCATCCGCGCAGCAGCCGTATAGCTCACCGGCTCACCATTGACAAAGCACCCTCTCAGCACCTACAGAGCACCCACTCGCAGCTCGGAGCATTCACACACTCTCTACGAAATGCGCGGTCGCTGTCCGACGGAGCGGTTACCTGCTGCTTGTAGAGCACCCTGTCACCACGCGCCGAGAACGTCACAGCCTTCAGGGCACTCACCACGTGCTCATCACCATCTGGCTATCACCACCCGTATCTTACCTGTCGGCTCGCCTTGTCCACAGCCCAGCCTGCGACTCATCCCAGCCTAGCTAAGCACCTTACCACCGGCCCCCTGTTTATTATTTCCTGCTTACGCCCGGCATCATCAGCTTTCCCCGGGCTGCAGCTGGCTGCACGGCATTTGCTCCCCTCACAATCCACTTAAACGCTGCTAATACCCACGAACACTCCTAGCACCAGTCTCGCCACATTCTCTGCGCTCACGCCCTACTCGCATCCTTTAGCTGCTTACCAGCCCACCTCGGCGCGTTTTCCCCGCTAACAGCCCACATCACCGCCATCTCGCGCTCACGTCCCGTCGCCAGCTGCAGCGTCCGCGCTGGGCGCGCGCTCCATCGCCCTTCAGCCGGCGCGGTGGTGGCCCGGCCGGCGGCGTCGGCCAGCGCCGGAGCCGGACGCGTGGCGGGGCGCCGCCCTTGTCCGGCTCAGCCGGGCGTGTCGCAGGGTCGGGGTCACTAAGGTCGCGGCGGGCCCTTTCCGCCCGGCGGCGCGCGGCCCGACCTGAGCGGCAAGGGGGGGGGGGGGGGAGCGAGGTTGCGAGCAAGGCTTCAGAGCGGCCGCGGGATGTAGACCGGTGCTGCGAAGCGAGTGTATGGGTTTTGTGCTGCGGTGTACAGGGGCGGGTGAGGGGTAGGAACACACGGTTGTTGTGCACTTCGTCACTGGGTTCCGTCGCGGAGCAATGTCGGTTGCGTGGGTGGTTCATTCAAATTCGGGTGGCGTCAGTCAGTTTCAAACCTGTCAGCTTCAATATACGAAAGTATCCGTTGCAAATGTGCGTGGGTGCGCGTGATGAGGCAACGGACCTCATGCGGCATGGTGGCCTGTGAACCCTCTTTAGAACGTCCGAGTTCTTCCGAAGCGTCAGCAAATGCCTGACAGTATCTCCGAGGAGAAAGGCGTGGGGCTTCGGGTATCAGTGTGCTCAAAGCTTGCAGTGCTATCTAAATCCATCGTGATAGTAGATTATGCCGGCGTTAATCCGTTGGTAAGCCGCACCTCATCCTGCCAAGAGATGACCTTTAGCTCTTGTGCTGAAAATGTACCACCTTCAATATGCCAAGACTTAGTGGTAGAGATTTAGCCAGTCACCGTGATGAACATGCTAGCGAACGGTACATGAGAACAATGCGAGCGTTCACTCGTTAGCACGTCCGTCGCTGAAACCATCGGGCATTTAAAAAAGGCTATTGCTTGACCTTCAATCTTCAACGCCCTTTAACCATCATTCCCTGGTGTGCTGCATGGTGGTAAGTTGTTTCAGCGTAAAAAGTGGCGAAAGGCCCGAACAGCGAGGCCCCCACTTTTGCACCACACGATGGCCTTGCGCTTCATGAATCTCAGACTCCATTGTCGATCGCCCTCATCAGTCATGATCATCCTCATGTCACCGTCCTCCAAAATCGCGCCGAATGCTCAAAACCGGTAAATGTGACCTGTCGTCACATTCGTCAGAATAAAATAAAAAACGTTTGCATGACGGGGTGATCGGTGGGCTTTCCTCCTCCGCAGCAGCCCCGCAGCTAAAACCGCCGCGAGCCACCGGGCTGCTGGCCGCAGGCGGCGTGCCTTCTGGCCGCGGCGAGTGGACTCGGCGCGCGCTGACCTATGTGGCGCGGCCGGCACATCCGGGTGGCGCTCGGGTCGCGTCAGCGGACCCGCGGGCCGCCCCCGCCCCGGCGCCGCCTGGCCGCCCGATGCTGCGCCGCCGACACGCGCGCCGCCTGATTCACGGGATGTGAGTAAGGTGGGACGGACGGCGCGGGCGGCCGGGCAGCGACGGTAAACACCGCGCGGCTGACAGCGCCGGGGCGGTTAGCCCCGCTGTGGTGTCACCGCTTAGTGGTCGGCCGGGTCTCGTAGCGGCCCGGGCATGAATGGCACAGTACGAAGGCCCGGCTGTACTGGGCCGGTGACGCGGGTTGAAGGTTTGGAGCCCCTGTCTGGGTGCGGTGTCGCGGGTGAGGGCGCGGTGTGCGGAACGTTATCTGCTTGGCGGAGGACTTGGTTGCCGCTGTGAATATCTCGGCTGCGCATGACCGCAGCCAGCTCCTCTGAAGTGGGCTGGTTTAGGACACAGGACTTAGAGATCAGTTTTAAGGAGCTCGTGACGCACGTTTGGATTTGGGTTGCTGACTCGCGTAGAGTTTGGTCCGCTGGGTTGGTCGCATCACTTCGGTTGCCCGGGCGCCCCATAGCGACCGTTACCATGCTCGACTTTGTTTCTAAAATTGCCGGCGCCAGCTCCGGAGCCCCACGTGCTTCACCCTAGTTGGGGAGATAAAAAAATGGCACGAATGTTTCCGTGCGCGATAAGCGCTTTGCAGATTTTGAACGCATGGAAATAAGAAGAGGCGTCCAGCTGGTCGAAGACATTAGGTTCTTGCGGTTGATTTGGGCATGCTCACGCTGTAAATCGCACCACCTGTGCACTCTTAGCGTGTGCGGGTCGAATGTACACAGCGCGTGGTTGGCATTTGGTACACAGACACTTGGTACACAGACACTTGGTGCATAGACAAATACGTGCGCGTCACCAGTGACCTAGCAGAGTTCTGCGGAGGCGAACACCTGCCTTAGGCATTCCATCGCGGTTTTTTCTTTCTTTCCAACTGCGAACGTGGACTGGGCCACGTCCCGTCCGACCGAAATCACGGGCTGGCGGCGCGGGCGAGAGGGGAGGGGAAGCACGCGGGCACCGCGTGCTCCCTGGCAATTACCCTGCTCCAGCCGTGTGCAATGTAAGCACGGACATCTGTTGGCCCGGGGGGGGGGGGGGGTCTAATGAGGGAGCGGCCCGGTGGCGCTGTGGTCGACCTCCGAGTGATGCTGCGCTGTCAGAGCACGCGCATTGTGAGGACGTCGAGCATACGTTTCTAGACGTCATTGTGAGGCCATTTTTATGCTCCAGAGGCTGCTTGACGTTGACGCCTTCATGCACGTTGATTGCGTGTATTTCTCAGTTGTTTGACGTCTACAACTGCGTGCGACAAAGAAAAACGGCCGCTTTGCGCAAGCTCGTAAAGGCTGACTCGTAGAAGCTTGCATCTCAGCGATTTGAGCTGACTGTCCGTCTCATCATCTGATGCTGCGAGATTTTCCCGTCACCCACCCGTACCGACCACCCCCTCGTTATGGCACTGAGTGCCTCTGGTGCATTCCGGGCGTTGCGTCGCGCTACGGGGCGCCTCGCCAGCCCCGCAGTGTCTGAACCGTACTTACATCGAACGGAGGCGGACGTCGATGATCCGAGGCACCAGCCGTATTCCCGCACCGCACGCCGCTAGCTGGCGGTGTTGCATTCCTGCAGGTGGGCGAGGCCTCGTGCACGCTCTCGTTGAACTGATGGGGCTCCGTGCGCTGGCTCGGTCAGCAGGAGATTGCTGAGGAAATGTGCGGCATTCAAGCCTTGCGATGACTGACCACATCTGCTGGCCGCTACCGGCCACGAACCGCTCCACGTCGTGACGTGACGCGATAGTGGTGGACGTCTGTCACGAGGTCCTCGGCTCACGATCACATTCGGTACATCAAAACGCATGCATCCGGTTGCAGTACCTGCATGTATTTGAGGTCGCATGGTTTGGGGTTTGAAGCACAACAGCTCGCAGAAAGCACCAACACTGAATTGCACCGTCAAAAGCTCGTGGCGTACTGGATGACGGTCTCTGCACGTGACCGTTGCGCGTGCGGGGTGCTGGTGCGTGCGGTCGCGAGCCCACACGGCGCCAATCACCCCGCAACGCTGTGGTAAAGGAAGGCCGACTGGCGGGCAGCCTGACGCGAGTCCGTCCACTTCGGAAGCTACTCCAGCGTCATGTCTGTGGGGATGGGGGCAGGGGAGATGGAGGAGGCTGCGACGCCGCCGGCTTAGCGACCGGCAGCGGTGGGGGCGTTAGTGGTAGCCGTAGCCGCCACCGCCGTAGCCTCCGTATTTCTTGTGGCCGCCACCGTAGCCGCCACCACCATAGCCGCCGCCGCCGTAGCCACCGTATTTCTTGTGGCCACCGCCGTAGCCGCCGCCGCCGTAGCCACCGTACTTCTTGTGGCCACCGCCGTAGCCGCCACCGCCATACTTCTTGTGGCCGCCACCGTAGCCCCCGCCGCCGTATTTCTTGTGGCCCCCTCCGTAGCCGCCACCTGTGAAAGTCATCAGCCATCAGCTGTCGGTGGGGCGATGACGGCGCTGGACTGCGGCGGTGATGGCATAGAGCCTGAGCGATGTTCGCAGCGGCCACAGCTTAGGAATCGAGGCCACCGTCTGGACGGCCGTGCTTTGGCCCGGAACGCCGCCAGTGCAAGGATAGCGTGCAACTTGTCACCCTTGCAGGTCCTTTGGACGACTCCAGCTGGGGCAAAAGTGAATGACAAATAGCGACAAATCTAACGAATGACGCGAGTCCGAGCTGATTTGGTGAACACAGTCTGCCAGATGGCAGTGAGGCGCAGTCTTCAGACGTCTGGGCTGCTCCGTGCTCTGAAAATCGCCTCCGTACTCCACCATTCGTCCATGCGATTGCGCTGACGCTGCTGTTGTGACTGTTTGCTAGCGCGCCGCGTTGTAGGGGCTGGGGCTGGGGTAGCCGGGCACTCACCGCCATACCCGCCGTACTTCTTGTGGCCGTACCCGCCGCCTCCGTAGCCACCGTAGCCCCCGGGCGAGGCCTGGCAGAGGGCGACGAACGCGCAGAGCAGGACGAGCAGTGACTGGAGCAGAGGGAGGGTGCAGGTGAGCACGAGCCGCCCACCGTCACACCTCACTGCTCACACCGCCGGGTGAGCTGGCGGTCAATGCGCACGGACCGCCCGTGCTGACGTCAGGGAGGCTGGCAGTTCGAGGAAATCTTTGGGAGGGTCGGACTTACCAAGTTGCACGCTCCGAGTGTAAATCGTTGGGGCCTGCCCCAGGAACGTGCAGTATATACTTATGCATTCCGAAGTTTCCCCGCGTCACCCGCGAGATACGCTGTCGATGGTGGGTGCGCCAGCAGCAGGGATCCGCTGCCGCCTGTCCGTCACTCGTCTGGGCGACTGCTGAGTTCTCACGTCCTGTGCCACTCGTCTGGGCGACTGCTGAGTTCTCACGTTCGGTGCCGACTCGTCTGGGCGACTGCTGAGTTCTCACCTTCAATGCCAGTCGTCTGGGCGACTGCTGAGTTCTCACGTTCAGTGCCACCCGTCTGAACGGCAGCTGGGTTCTCACGCCCACGTCACTGGTCTGAATGGCAGCGGGGTTCTCACGCTACTCCATCGGTCTCGGTGCAGCCGTGCAGTTGCGACGGCGTGCCCCGCCGTCCGATATCCCCCGGTCACGCCGCGGCTCGTCCGAATCCACCCCAGCAACGGTCCGGGCTAGGTCCACGGCAGTCGGCCTCGCCGCCAAACCGTCAAGGCAGCCGGCCACAGATCGAGCGCAGATCTGCGTGAATTCCCGATGTTCAAAGCGCTGCCGACATTAAGCTAATGCTGGACATTTTCTTAGATCCACCACTCGAAGGCGTGGAAGCCGGAGTGTCCAGGAAAGTACGTCCATCGCGCTCGCGCTGAGTCCAAAACGGTACTTTAAGCTACACGCGATTAGGCGTGGGAAATCGTTAACGGGACCGGTCCAGCCGCGCCCCTGGTGGCAACCGGGCCGCTGCCTCGACCAACTCACCAGAGCCTTCATGTTGAGTGCGTCTGTTGCGAGCCGAGCTCGGTTGTGACTTGCCGCTCTCGGGTCCGGCCGCGCCTTTTATGCGGCGCCATCGACACGCGTGTGCGACTCGGGGTCACGACGTGACGCCACGCAGCGTGACAGGTCAGATCACGCGGCGCCGCTGACCCGCCGCGTGACGCCGGTCGATCACGGCGTAACGCGTCACTGCATTCCGTGCCGCGAGCGTCCGTGGCGAAAGTGCGCCGCGCGGCCGCGCGTTGTGAGGCAATGGCGGAAGCGGCGGCCCGACCGGCAGAGTGGAGCGCGCGTCCGGCTGAGACCTACTGTATTCGTCGCGTCCGCCTTCGTTGCGGTTAGCCCGGGTCTGGAGGTGGGGGGGGGGGGGGGGGAGAGAAACAGGGTGGTGCGCTGAGCCGGCACTCACTCTGCTTTACGGTGCAGGCTACTAGGTTCGTGCCCCTGATCTCTTCGCCATGGTGTGCAGGTTGGACGCCCTCGCGCGGTGGAGAATGGGGGATGGGATGGGATGGGGCACGCATTGCGGTTGCTGACGATGTCTTCCTGACAGCTCACTCCTGCGTAGCGTTGTGGTTCCTGGCCCGTGCGCTCGTGGATTGTGTTGGGTCCTCTGGCCCGTGCGATCCTGTGTTGTGTTGGGTCTCCCGACCGACGCGCCCCCATGTGGCGTGGGGCGCAGAAGCTTCGGGCACTGTCGCTCCCATTAAGTGTTTGGATCCCAGATCCACTGTCTCGCGTGTTGTGCCGCCTCACACGATCCGCTGCCTCCCGTGTTGCAGCGCGTGCTGTGTCGCCTGACGGTGTGCTCTCGTTGTGTTCCAGCGTCAGGGGTTCATGGACACGCCGGTGACGTACTCCGAGATCCGCGAGGTGCGGCGCATGGGACTCTGGGAGGCGGCGCACAAGTTCTGCCTCAGTCTGGTGCTGCCCACCGGCCTGCTGGTGCTGCAGGTGAGCATTTTGGTGCTGCGCTACGCTGCTGTGGTGCAGGAAACGAGAGGTAGGGAATTGGTTTCGCGCGCAGGCGCTGTGGGCTAGCCACTGCATCCTCTTCTAGGCCTCACTCACCATACTTGACGGTTAAGCACCTTATTTTTTTAAATTCAAGAATTTGTGAGGCTTTAACTCGGAATCCGGAGCGCAACGTTGAATGCATCACTCCAGTTGGAAAACAGGTGTGCTGTAAGCTGTTTGCTCAGCGCCGTTGCTGGTGTGCTTTAGCTCCATTCCTGCTGGACGGTCTCTCGTGCCATGGACGAACCACGCTCTTAATGTTTATGCGTTTCATTGCTGTTTTGATGCTAATTATTTGTTCAAAGCATAAGAAATAAGAAAGCATGCGATCTGCCCTAATGTTACTGGGGTGCGACCCCCACGGCCGGCAGTGGTGGGTCTGCCCGTGCCGCCGCGCTACAGGCGGGCGCCGCGCCGCCCGGGGCTCGCTGTTGCCGCGGCTTGGCACCGCGCCCAGCCCCCCCCCCCCCCTCCCTCCCCCCGCTCTCTCCCTCCCGATCGACCCGAGCGCCGGGCCGCCCGGCGCGTCGCTTGTTTATGCAGGCGATCTGTGTAAAAAATCGACCGACGCTGGGCCGGCAGAGGCCGGCGCCGCGGCCGACGCGGGCCGGACTCGGGCCGGACTCGGGCCGGACTCGGGCCCCGGCCTGGTGACGGTCAGCTGTGACAAGCCGCGCCCGGGCCAATCAGGGAAATGTGCTAACCCAAGCGCCTATCGACCCGCGCCTTGTGAGCTAGCGGAGGCTTTAGACCGGTCCTCTGGCCGCTGGTGAATTATCTCCGTAGTTCGGAGCTGCGTGAAGCGAATTGTACCAGTGACTCCCTGGTGTTGGGCAGCTCTGACCCCGTGGACCGGGTCTCCCTGGTGTCAACTGTACTAGTGGCATATAGTTAGTGCACCAGTTGAGTGGTGCCAATGGACTCGCGGATTGGTGATTGGTGACAACGATGCCAAGGCCGCTGGTTTGACGTGGCAAGTAAGCGTGCATTATTGGACCTACCTTATTTAAAACCTGCTTCACACGCATGTCTTTCGGCCCCGCCTGTATAGTTTCCGCCGCAGCATCGCAGCACGTGCATGGTAGCCGCCTCGCCGGCCGGCCGGCTGACACCGTCCGCGGGGCGCCGGCCGGGCCTCCAGCCCGGCGGACAGAGCGCTGAGTAGCCGTCTGGCGGGTCGCCGAGAGCTCGCCAGCCCTGACGGCGGCCACCAGTTCATCGGCGCGGTGGGATGCCGCGTGCCCCATGCACGGAGGCTCCCCACGCCAGCTCAAGGGCGCCGAGGCCAAGACGGCGAAATGGCCTCGGGCGTTGTTAGCGTCGGGGTCGTTTCGTTAGATCGTTTCATCAGGCATGCTACTAACCGCGGTCCTTTGAAATCGCCGGTTCATTGGGGCGGTCGGGCGGGCGAGGGGAGGGGGAGGGCGTTACTGGACGGCTTTCATACGTCGCTGCTGGCTTGTCCATGCGCCACTGCCCACGTACGTCAGAGCATTGCTGACTGTCTGGACCCGACATGTTCTACTGCGTCATCCTGCTTGATCTTTGCTGCGGGTGGCTACTCACATCAGTCGGCCCACCTGCCTGGGCACGACAGCGCTCCGCTCCCGTGCGTCATCCGGCTTGATCCGGGGCGAAGTTGTTGCGTTCTGTCATTTGACCCACCGCCTCTTCTTGGCTGCCATCATGCGTCTACTTCCAAAACGGCAGCAAGTTATGTACGCATAAATTTCCCGTAACCAGCCAGTTCATCAGTACCAGCGTTGGCTTAAGCTTATTAGTCGGCTTATGACGCGTGGCCGACATGTTCGTTAAGGTGCTTATTCGCCGAGGCGCCCCGTGAAAAACGGCTCTCCGCGTGAGTTAATAAGGGGCACCCAGTAACGCCTGGCTGCGCCAGAGCTTCTGCTCGTCAGCGCGTGTACTTTATATCAGGAGATTTCTCCTGAATGGTTGGCGCGGAGACTGACGTCTGCACTGGTCGAACAGGCGATGGGCACAAGCGGGCGGCCCGCCGTGCGACTGGCTGAGCCATGTACAGTTATCATCGGCGCCTCTCGGGCATGCATGTGTTCTCGACCAGTTCGCTCTCCAAGTTTCCGAGAGGCGTGTTCCATGTCACCAGGCGTGTGTACTTGGCTTTTGCGCTGCACGGGCGCGCGCCGGCGGCCGTGTATGCCCCCTCCTGCCTGACGACCCCAGCTGTTGGCGCTGCCGTCCGGCGGCGCCGCCAAACGGGAGGCGGCGGCCGCCACGGCTCGGGGTCTCTCCGAGCGCAGCGGCGATGGTGGCTGGCGGAGCGGCGGCCGACGCCGGCCGGACGTCGCTGACATCTAGCCCCCTCGCGCTGCTCACCTCGCCGGTCGGGAGATCCGGTCCACGGGGTCAGAGCTGCCCCGCGCCAGCCGCTTCGGCACTTGCGATCGGCCGCCGCGCTGTCAGCCCGGTGGCATTTGTAATTGCGACTAAATGTGTGCTGTGAGAGCCAGGTGTGGGTGGCGAACGCAGCGCCGTGGGCGGCCGTCGGGCGAAGCTATCAGCGACGATGTCGCACCGGAAAGGTAGTGTTATGCAACGGCGGGTTATGAGCGCGGAGATGCAAGCGTGGGAGTTGCTCCGCGCCCTAAGGAATGGGCGAAAACGCCGGGGGGGGGGGGGGCGTATAGGCAGAGTTTTGTGGTGGAACGGCTGGCATCTGACGCCGGCTGCCAACTGCTGCGATGCTAATCGGCTGGTGGACACAGTTTTGATGAAAGTGGAGATTAGGCCCATTGCATGTTCAGGCGATGCCGTGGATTCGTGACACTTGACTCCGACTAGAGCGATGACGTTTCTTCAGTGGGTTGTTTCTCAATAAGATGCTATTTATGGCATGCTCATCGAACTGTCGCGTACCTTTAAAGTGGAAGAATCTGCCAAGCATTTTCAAGACATTAGTCCGTCGCAGTTCTTAAGTAAAGGATGATTGAGATGACAGCGGCGCCTGTACCGCATTATCTCGAACAGTCCCGGGTGCGTCCGGTGGTGGTGCCGCTCCGTCACCGTCACGAGCTCGGCGGCCACACGCTGCGCGTCACCACAGTCGGCTCGCGGCGGTTTTGGCCGCCAGATCTGCCGCTGGTGACGGGCTGACTGGCCGTCCAGCTGGCGGTGGTCGTGTCAGCTCGTGCCCGCTCATTGCGCGCTCTTAGACGCTTGTCGTTATCAGTTTTCTATCAGTATCAGTTTTATCAGAGCTTTGCTGCGTTGAGTATCGTTTTTCAGGCATTTTTTGGTGGCGTCACACGCGTGGCTGGCCGACGGCCTGCTCCACACTGTCGTCACGACTCGCGTGATCGGACCACGTGACCTCAGCAGATCGTTGCAGTGAAATCGCAACTGTTTACAACTTTTTACACCGGATTGTTCTTCCTGGTAGATGACGGTGGGCAGAACCGTCTCGTGTATGCACGTGGAAAGTAGCGTGCGCACGTTTAGTATGAAGTCACCCAATATCACGTGATCGATCAAATGACGTCATGGGGCTGGAAGTGGGCTCTGGCCTAAGCTGACGTCACAGCGGCGTGGCGTATAAGACGATCCGTTGTTTTATTTAAGGTTTTGTGTTCCCCAATTCGAGCCGATCCGGAAAGGGCTAAGCGAATGGACAATCAGCACGCATTGCGTATGGGGAGGACAGTCATGATCTCGTACGTTAATCACAGATGGCCGAAGAAAAAAAATATGTGGGAGGAATGACGGTAACAAGCAGCCTACCGAAAAATGGCTCCTCACTTGAACCCGTAAAAAGTTGCAAGATGCTGTCCTGATTTGTTTGGTATATTATTTTTGCATGGCTACTTTCTTTACCCCGGAGTAATTCCGCATATATTTGACCCGAGTACTGGCGCTGTGCGCGGCGAGCGCGCTGTAATTGTGCTGTCATTATGACACTGTAGCGGCACGGCCGAACGCACGCGCGGAGATGGCAGCATCTAGTCAGCTGAGATTGGCGTGGAATTGGAAGCTGCTTTTTAAATCAGATCTCTACGCTCTGTGTGGGGGAATTAAAACGAGAGCTCTGTGTGGTGGAGCCCCAATCCCTTTAAATTCATGGATCTGTCAGTGAGCATCAATAAAGCCAAATTGCATCACAGCTTCGACGCGACAAATCCAGCTCGCGGTCGACGGCGCCCTGGATAGGCGAGCGCGCGAGCGCGAGCGTGGGCTTGTGCTCAGTTGTGTTTGCTGCCAGCCCCCTCAAACAAGAGGACGGTTTCACCGTCCGCATCCGCCGCGCTGCGCAGCTTGTATGAGGCCAGCCGCCGCTACGTGTACTCAGTGACCGAGCTCAGCCGGTGAACACGGGCGTGGCTTGGGAGGGCAGGGGTACACACGTGCAGGACTCGTGACCCTGAAATTATACGGCAGAGCGTCCACTTTGAAGTGAGGGCCGGCGCCTCCTGATGCTAACACGGATGTTGGAGCTCAGAAGTACGCTGACGCATGGGGAATTGTGGATTGGTCTGTGAATACCTGATGCGTCGGTGCGCACACGACACTTAGTTGGCTCCAATACGCAGTTGGAACTAGACGTGTATGTTCTCATGAAATAGCATGCCGTGAATGTTGTGATAACGGTGTAGTCCGTGAACGCGCTGCTTGTTGCCGCCATTCCTCCCACATCCTTTCTTTCCCAGTCATTGTTGCACATCCTGGCTTGCCGCTTCTCGTCAGTGGAGTCACGCCACCGTGGTCACGCCACTGGGGTCACGCCATCGAAGTCACGCCCCCGGCGTTTCCACCGGCCTTTCCCCTGACCTGACGCGCGGCGGTCGTCATCTTGCCACCGTGCCGATCCTCACCCCACCCCTGTGGTCTCAGCTCGGTGCGCCACCCGAGCTGGCGTTTCCCGTCAGATCGCGGCGGCGCGCGCCGGCCTCGCTCTCCCCGGCGGGCGTCGCGTCGCGCCGCGTGACGGCCGTCGCCGGCAGGGACGGCTACCGTGCGCCGGGGGCCGCGCCGTCCCCGCGCCCGAGCTGCGTGCGGCCTCTGACGTTCGGCCGTGTCTCCGTTTCAGATGAGCAGCCCGGTGGCGCGAGACCAGTGGTATCACTCGATCTCCTGGAAGGTGAGCACGGGCGGCGCGCGCGCGGTGGCAGTGCTCCCCGGACCGTGGCCGGCAAACTTCGGCTCCCACAACCGAACGCGCTGGCCGCATCGTCCCGTCTCGTTCTCTCATCGACGTCCCCGGAAGCAAATCCGCGGGTGTGCTGGGTCTTTGCCTGTCACCCCGAGGTCGCTCGCTTGTCGCTCCTGGCCGGCCGGGCGAGCTCTCGAGCCGGGCGTCGGCGGCTCGCCGGCCCCGACGCTGCGGCGCGTCGGATGACTCCTGTGACCTTCAGAATGCACGGTGACCTGCCGCTGCCCAGACGACCCCGGAATCCAGCTGGCCGGGCTCAAGCTGTGTAAACTAAGCTTTCAACTCGGCTCACAGCGGCAGGTTGCAGGATTGATTCCCTGGCGGACACGTACCTCGCACTGGGGCGCCGATAGCATAGTGGATACCGCGCCTGCCTTACCTGACCACCGCCCGTCTGGGTGACCAGGGGTCCGGGTTTCGATTCCCCTCGCTGCTCGCACTTCTCGCCAAGGTGAGAGGCAGGTGACATCATATAGCCGGAGCAGCTGAGTGCGTCGTAAGCTACAATAACACACGCGCGTACCTCGTGCTGCAACTAGGGCTTTCGATCAGCCAGCCGCTCGGAACTTGATCACTTGCAATAGCTCTAACAATGCGTGGGAACAAAGGCTCTGGCGACAGTGAGCGGATGTAACGGAGCAGAGGACCAGCTGATGCGTCGGTACATTTGCTGGACCTAGGCGTGGAAACCTGAAGGAAAGCTGGTGGCGTGTCTCGTAGTGCGTGCTGGCACCGTCATCTCTAAGTCTGGCTGAATTTGTGACACGTCGCTCTGCCGGGCTTACCGGAGCAACAGCCACGTCAAATAAGTTAAATATAAAATGATTGCAAGGTCATTGCATGAACAGGGGACTGGGTCTCTGAGAGCTTTGACATAACATAGAAGCGCTGGCCTTTGTTTTTTTTTTTCAAAAATGTCTCAGCGCTCGGCTGTGATCCTAATCATGATGGTATCTCTAAGATGGCTGTGCAGCCCATCTTTTGCTCGCTTTGTGTAACCAAGTTATTGGAAGCATGTTCATGGGAGTACATGCGTAGTTTCTAAAACAGTGACCTCTTTTCAGAAACGTATGTTTCGGCACAAAACCAAGCTAAATGAATGCAGGAAGCCCGAAGCTCTCGTCAGAGAAATTAAGGTGAGTTATCTCTAGTGTTGTTTAAGTGGATTTTAATCACGACATTTAATGCGTTTGCAACACTGAACACTAACCTGATAATGCCAATGGCGCATCCCTGGTACCCACTCATCTCTCCTGGTGCGATGCCATCGGTGTGCCCTCCCGAACGTCCCCTGGGCGCGCCCCTGGCGCCAGCCATCGACCCCGGGCGCCGCCGGCGCGCGCGGGCCCGGAGAACTAAAGCTGTCCTGGTCCCGCGGGTCCAGGCGCTCCCGCAGCCGGGCGGCGCGGCGCGTCCGGGAACGACGGGCTCGTCAGAGCGGCGACGCACCTACCGATGGCGCTCGACGACGACCGGCGCCGTCGTCAGGCCGGTGCTGGGGGTTGGAGCGTGTGCTCACCGCCGTTATCGCCAGAGAACGCAGTCCGGTGCGGTCAGGGGTGAAGCCGACCGAGCAGAGAGCGGGGCCGGACCGACGCTGGGCTGATGGGGCGCTGACCCCTGTAATCTGGCGCAAGATGGGGTCGCTGTATCCGCTCCGTCGTACGTAGAATGATCATGGCAGATTTGGCACCGGTAAGATTGAATTCGGATCTCCGCAACCCATATGTGCGCGCGCGCCGGTGGGGACGGATTCGGTGGCACGGGTCCGGGGGCCTTTCCAGAAAGCTGGCCGCCATTGGGTCGGTCCCGGTATAAACAGCATGCTGGCTGCTCTGCCCTGTCATCAGCTTAATCTCTGGGTCTCCCTCGTGGTGCTCTGCGGATCGGCATTCGTGGTGCCATCTGCACGTGCATGGCTAGACGAGTTTGCAACGAGTGGGAGGCGGGAAGTTCGCTGCCGGCTCGAGCTGGGACATTCGGTGTGTGCAGAAACCGCGATCGCTTCGCATCCTCTGACGTCAATGGGACACGTGCTCCGGAGAACCGGGATGGAGGAAGAAGTATGGAAGAATGGAAACAGAGGCGGTGATATCGCCACGCGAGCGAGCACGTTTGCACGCCCGGGCATCTTCCGCGGAGGCCAGGCGGTGGCAGAGTCTCATGAGAAACAGCACCTGTTCAACAGGAAGAAACGCCGGATTGGAGCGAATGGAAAGCAACTTTGCGTTGAGGTTTGCCGTAGCGTGGCTGAATGAGTGTCGCACGAAATATAGACGGATCATGGCGCTTTTGCCGTGAGATATCACAACCGATCGCGGACCCAGGGAGACCAAGCGGTCCAAGCCCCACGCCCCCACACCCTACGCCCCCACGCCGCCAAGCCCCCACGCCTCTACGCCCCAGGTTCCCCTACTTGACCAAGATGGCCAGATTGACTTTTACCAACGAAGTTTGCCTTAGGACACTCCGCAATCTGCAGTAAAGCGAATCCTGATGAGTTTTGCAAATGAGGACACGCTTTGAGATTTAAGCATTCACAAGCCAGCGCTGCCTCCACCCGGCAAGTTGGACATCTGGACCCGCCCTTGATCACGACAGGCCCGCTTTGGACGGGTCCACGGGGGCGTGTCATGAATGATGACCTCCAAACTCGTCTAGTCTGACAAATGTATATTTCACTATCTTTCCGGCGCCGTTCTGTGTATTCCCGGAATGCTTGTGCCGGCGCGCATGCGGGCAATGAAGTTCACACCACCTTCAGTAGATCCCGCTGCTCGTGCATGCTACCAACGAAGTTTACACCATCTTCGGTAGATCCCACTGCTCGTGCATGCGACCAACGAAGTTAATAAGCACCCTCTTCAGTAGATCCCGCTGATTTCCCGCGGGGAAGAGCCATCATCTTTGGCAGCCGCCCGCCGCGGCGGGAGCTTCAGGCCGCCATCGCCTGGGCAGGCGGCGGTTTCGTTCAGCGCGTGCTGTTCGTCGAGCGACTTCCGCGTGGCGTGCTGGGCAAGTCGTTCCACCCGGGAGTGTGATGCAAGTTGCCCGCTGTCTGTTCCGGCAGGCCATGATCGATGTCTGCATGCAGGAGCCGCTGCTGGACGATGCCATCTACCAGACTCCCCTGGACGTGGTCTCGGGACTGCTGACCAAGGTAGGCGATGGACGAGTCCATCTTTGCACTGCTGTGCTCGATGTCGTCACGCCGTGGGGACGTGTGTGATGAACTGGTGCAGGGTACAGGTTTACGCACAGAAATGGCGCGGGAGTTTCAAAATATAAGGACAACCATCTGACGGCGCAGATTTTGTTTGCGAGCGTCGTGTATCAGTTGCATTAATTACAAATATTCTAGACGTATTGCCGGCTTTTATCAGCTCTCAGACGTGAACCAGACGTGACTCAGCAGTCTTCCAGAACTTTTGGACGCAGGCGACTGTTGATTGGACCATTAACACCTAAGTTATTTATTTTTGAAGACGTGTCTTGGGCAGTGCAGCCGTGCTACACTGCCACCGGTATTGCAACAAAATGCGAGGGCTTCAAGGCTCACATCTGGCGGACTGGCTCTGGCTAAGGAGACGGCATCATTGGAAATGCCAATGATAACGCTTAGGGCCCACATCAGACGACGGGCAGTTTACCAGGAGGTGCAGGGCAATAGACAAGATATTCATAAGCAACTGTATTGCTAAGACTCATCACGCAACAATTTTCAGAAAGGCTTAGAGTCATCATTGATATTGAAATCTGATCGGGTGCCATGATTAGTATTGAAAAATCCCGAAGACGAGCTGTTTAAGGGTCTTGTTACTGACATCAAGGCTGGGACAAGCGCTTGCATCCCCCAAAAATAAGCGAATACGTGCAAATTTGTTTGATGACCGAACCTGGATTCACACCAATGAAAGCTCTTGCCGAGCGGCAAATGGCTTTTATTATATATGTATATATATATATATATGCATATATAAAATTTATGTATATATATAATGAAATAAGTAATATATATATATATATAAAATGATATATGGCATGATAAAAATATAAGAAATATATAGATATATAAATACATGTATATGAATATATAAATAAATATAATATCATGTTATATATATATATATATATATATATATATATATATATATATATGTGTTATAACAAAAGACCTTTATTCTCTAGCAAAAAGCCCGCGCCAGAAACGTTAGCAACGTTAATAACTTCCTTGAACTGTTCCCTGGTGACAGGGGCGGCACCACCATTGGCTAAACGGAGGTCGTTCCCGATGTCATTTGCCAAAAAGAGGCGTATAGTCCTGCCACCGTTGAGACTTCAGAATGCCTTATCATGCTGACAGGAGGCCCCCAGATAAGAGAGACAAAATATGTCATCGAATCAAGAGCGGTGCCCTGAGGGCACACCGGAAGCAATGTTCTTCCGGTAGGAGACCCTAGCTGGCCAGCATCACGCGGTTTTGCTTGACAAAAGTCCGATATGATTCAAAGGAAGGCACATCAGATGCATAAGAGCCTTATGCAACACAAACACGGGAAGGTTCGCCAGCCTAAAAGGAGGCTCGATGGGATAGGTAGGAGGCCCCACCACGCCGAGAGGAGGTTTTGCTGCATTGTGCCCCTTACTAAGGCATCCTTTTGAAAACAATGTTGGTGAAATCAGAAGAAGAATAAGTTAAGAGATGTGTAAGAAATCCCAAAGTTTGTTTAGGATGCACCTAGTTCCCCCCCCCCCTGAAATCGGTCGGTGTTGCCGCCTCCGCCTCTTAGATCCGGCTTTTCATCTCAGACACATGAATGCGTCTGTAGAACTGCACTCCGGAGCAGTGATCAAAAGCCATTATTTGTTAACTTATACCGTGGCCGTTGGTATATTTATCATACGATTCGTCGGATTTTATCAGTCGCATGAAGAATTTCCTCCTGTCCCGTGTCGGCGCAGCTAATGGTGTATGATAGCGAGTGATGGTGAATAAAACGAAAATAGTACGGTTTGCAAGGGTGTTTCTCTTTATAACGGCGGTCCTGTGGGCGCATTCCGCATGTAGAGGTTATAAGTTATTTCGGGGAACAGCTGGTCTACTCGCTCCGTCTTGTGATCTCATGTGAGACTTAAACCAGCCACTGCTCTGAAAAGAGTACCCGCGAGCATGCCGTTCAGTCCTTTTTGCTTCCTTAAGTGTGATAGAATTTCCCGTAATGGACCCACCCACTTGACCGGCAATGATCCCCTTGATCGCCTATCTTTAGCCCCGAGCCGAAAACGGCGGCATGGTCGCGACCTTTGACCTGTACAATCGACGCTCTTACGACCGTAACGGCGCACCCGCACCGAAGCCCGGCACCTGCGCCGAAAGCGATCGCCCCAGTCGCCGTCAGCTGGCACATCCTGTTGCCGGTCGGGGCGAGCACATTGAGCGGCGCGCACTCTTGTTGCCGATGCGCCGCGCCCACCCCATCTGGAATCGATGCGGGCGCGGCCTGAGCGAACGCAGCACGCGCTGCCGCCGGTGGCTCGCGTGGGATTCCCTGGCGCTCGTCCCGCCGCGGAGGACCGCGTGCGAGCCGCCAGCGCGCGCCCCGGTCGGCCGCCGGGGCCGGTGCAGGGCGTCGGCGTTGTCTCGGATCGCGCCAACAGCTTGCTTCGGTTGGCTGGTGCCGGTGTCCCAGCTCGCCTCTGGTGCACGGAAGCGCGCTGGTGATCACTGCAGCGGCTGGCGGCGGGCACCAGTCGGGAGTCGTTAGGACTGCCGCTGACGGTACGGCAGTAGTCAGGGGAACTCACCTGGGCCCGTCGGAGGTGCCTCAGACAAACAGACAAGCGCAGAATGTTAGCCTGTCGCGGCCACGCAGGTTAACATCCTGCACAGCTGGGGAAGTTCTGACGCCGGATCTCCGTCAGAACCTCCCCCGGGCCCGCGCCCCGGGAGTGCAGTATCACACCTGGGTGCGCCGGGAGTCCCAGAGCGTGCCTCCCTCATCGGCCCGCGCCGGCCCGCCCCACATGCGGCCGCGCCCGCTGGCGGGCCGCCGGCCGCCCGAGACTATCTCGCCGCCGCAGCTCGGCGGGAGCGCGCGGGGACGGCGGTCAATTGGGTCTGCCGGTGACGACGCCGCGGCCGACGCGGTTATTAGCGGCCCGCGGCGACGGCGGCAAGCGACGTGTCCGCGTGCACCCGCACGTGCCGGGAAGGGCGCTGCCAACGGGCGGCGCGGTGCAGCCCCTGTGACAGTGTCACATTCTGGAGAGGATGGCCACGCCCAGATTGCCTCCCCGGAAGGGTTTCGTGCGAAGTCACGCTGGCGTTTTCGGCGGATGGTGTCAGGTGTGACGTCCGTGTCGCCTGTGCGGCATTGTCATTATCGAGCAGGGCTGTGGAGACACTGGTGGCAGATTGTTACATTTCCAACAGCTGGCCGTGCGATATTGATTTTCTGGGAAGCGTTTGATGCAAAGTCACCCAGGCGTGTTCGGTGACATGGGCCGTCCCATCGCGACATTATAGACGGCTTCATTACACACCCAAGTCTAGACGTTTGTGATAGCTGACTGCACAGTTGAGCTGGGGGCTTCCACGACTTCGCACCAAGCTGGTGTGTAAAACCCACTGTAAAAAGACGATCCAGGGATTTGTCCCTGATCTTCGGAGATCAAGAGATTGTCCTCGATTTCATAACATGCCCAGGGCGGTATGTATGTGAACATTCAGGGGTTGAGAAATTCACACAAGGTTGGGTGATGGAGGGATGCGGGTGAGGGCTTAAAAAGGTGTTTTACCTTTCTTCACTGTTCTAATCCGGTGGCCTAAGCTTGGATTAAGTTAATTAGTTCTATTGGCCGTCATGTTACTACTGCTAACGTTTCTATGGTACTAAATTGTTGTCTAGCACTCCTGTTATATTGATTTATTAGGTTACGTTCAGTTGGGGATAACTGCCTCTCCCTTCGACTCCCGCGCGCTTGCAGCCAGCTCACGTATAAATCTGACTTCTAGGTGTCCTAGTTTCACCCACGTATAAGGCGAATTAGTAGTTTGGTGCGAAGGCCAGGCGCCATCAGTATGCACAAGCATGGCAAACCGCGATGGGGCCCGAGCAATAAAGCCCGAACGGAGCGGCGGGGTCGACCGGTCCGAGTGGGCCGCGGGCTTAGCAGGTCAGCCGTCCAGAAGCCAGCTTCAGCCTGCCAGGCTCATCTGGTGTGACCATCCGTCACATCTGGTGTGACCATCCGTCACATCAGGTGTGACAGATGGCCCGTTTAGCGCTGCTGCCACGCAGTAACGGGCAGGAGCACTGCTGCCCTCGCGCGTCGGATGGGGTCGTCGATCATCGCTATGGGGCCGGGCCGAGGTGCTCCGGCGCCGGGCTGTTCTGCGAGCGCGAGCGGCGACGCTCCCGCCGGTGGAGTGCACACTCCCAGACGACAGGGCGCGCGTCACAGTCCGTGTGAGAAGCGGATGGAGTTCGCTTGCTGCCAGCTATAATCGATGGACGTCGTCCTACAAGGACTCAGCCGAAAAGTTAGCATGTTAGCCTCTCAAGCTTATGAAGTCAAGTCCGAATGAAGCTTGGCTGTAATGAAATTGATGTCAACTCCATTTCACGGGAGCTGGCAGAAGCTTCATGTACTCTCTAAATGCGCTACGATTATTTTCGCCCGCTGGCGAACTCAAGATGGCTACTTAACCGCCGCGTCAGCTGGTGTTGGCCCAGAACGCTGAACTTGGCTGCGCATACGGTGAGCTGCCGTTTAGTATAGCAGTGCCGCAGCAGGTTTCTGTAGCGTGTTTTAGGTCGCATGTCCGGCCCTGACCCTGGTCCTGGACGTCGACGCCCAAAAGCCGGATCGAGGCGCCAAATGCCTGAAAGTGGTTAAATGACAGCCAAAGTGTGCCTCAGTTCAGTGGCAGGCTCTTCTCGTACTTGGGAGGCTCAAATCCCCTTGCCGTTATGATAGAGGAGAACCTCTACCACAAACCCGGCAGGAAAATGAAAAGCTGGAGAGATATCCGACGGGCTCCATTTCCACCGGAGCACTTTGCGAGCCCCGCTGCGCTGAGTCGTATAGACGACGGATAGCCCCGGGTCACGTTATAATTCAAACTTTGGACGCGCCCTGGCTTCCATACGGTGGCCTGGCCGGTGCAGGTAGCATTTGGGCGGCGAGGCTGCATGGCAGGCGCGATGCTACAGCCGTGCTCCAAATGTTTATTGCTGCCGTGTGGATCGTTTATTTGCCTGATGGCGTGTTTTGCGTTGGATGTTGATCGCTTGACGGCGGCGCACCGTTGCGGATGTCAGCTTCGCGTAACGGCGCCGTATTGGACTCGTTGTTGCAAATGGATCGGACTGGGAGAGTGGTCAGGGGCGTAGTGACCTAGACAGTGGTGGCGTATGTCCCTGATTCATTTGTGAACTGTCTTTTTGCGCGGAGCTAGTTAGTCCCTCGCGCTGCAATACTTATGCGAAGCTACGGCCGCGACACGTGATTATCACATGTCATTGCGATTATCACATGTCATGTCATATCACATCCCATTGAGCTTTATTTGCGAAAAGGATAGGATTTTAGTGCACAGTTGCTGCAGCCTGTGACAGAGCACAGGATGACAACCTCGCAGTAGTATTAGATTTATTGGGCTGCAAAGATGGTTCTTGTAGATAGTTATTTTACTCTCGTACTGGGAAAAAAATCGAGCACGTTTTTTTAGTAGATCCAGTCATTTTAAGCGGAATTGGTTAAAGCTTGTTGAAATCTGCCTTACTGCGTTTTTTTTGTCGGTATATTGAGGCTGTGAGCCCGCAGCACGAAATTGATTCAGAATGTGGTTACGATAATAGTTAGAGTTGACACCGGTAAGGTAAGCTCCAGGTCTGAACGATGCGTCAGTGTTGCTCCTCGGATGTTATGTCCTCGACCCGCTTGCAGCGGGCGTTCTAGAATTCGTTTTGCATTATGACGCTAAAGACAAGCGGCTGCACGAACCACTGGAACTACGGTAGTGGCGTGCGAAGACAGACCATGCAATTGACGCCTCCATCACATCCGACTCACGTACATCCCGAGCACTCAAACCAGTTGTGAACACCATCTCCCTCTGGCAGATGATGCCGGATCGAACCAAAAAGCTCAAAGCCGTCGTATTCCCATCCTCCAGCCGGTATTTTGCGTCTGGCTTACCGTGTGTGACGAATGGCGTCCGGGCCGGGCCTGCTATTTCATTTCGCTCCCCGGCGAGGGTTGTCGTCCTATTGACACGGCCAACAAAGCTGATTGCACGGACACGCCGCTGCAGAGTTAATTGGATGGGTAGGTGCGGTCTGTTGGGCGAGGGAGGGTGGGGAGGCGAGGCGCTGGGCGGGCGTGTGGGCTCCGGCCGTGCCTCCAGCGACGCCGCGCCGGAGAGACGGCGCGTTTCACCGTGACTGGCGCCGCCAGTGGGCCTGGGCTTTCCTCGGTCCGGCCGGCGCGCCGCCTCGCCGACGCTCTTGTCGGTGTGCCGTCCGGGCTCTTATCGGACGGCATACCGATCTTCGATCCACTCTTCGATCTATCTGTATGTCTATCTATCCATAGCTATCTATCTAGCTATCCACACTATCGATCAATCCACTCTTCACATTATGTACTGCTTAATGTCCATAATCGAAAATAAACATCAAATCAAAAACCGGCATACCGGGCTCATGGTCACACCGACGGCGTACCGTCCGGCAATTTCATGTCTGCGTAACGACGCACCGGCATACCGGCATGCCGACCTCCATCCTAACCGGCATGCCGTCTCGCCGGTATACGGTTTCTCGCGCAAACGTGTGACAGGCACACCGTGTCACCGGCTATCAGTACATACTACGGGTGGTGTAACGATGCTTATTGTGACCGGCATACCGTCTGCCATGCTGTCCGGCGCACGGTAGACCAGCCTGGTCGGATAGGGCCGGCTGGTCGGCATGCCGTCCCAGCCAGCATACCGTGTGACGGACGCGTGCATTTCACCGACATCTCAGCATGCATCTGTTGATCTAGGTGGCATGCCCGCCACCCGCTCGGCATACACGTGCTGCATTCGAGTTGAGGTTTATTTTACGTTTTGTCATTTGGGTCACTTGTGCTCAGGCGATATGATGTCATGCATGGAATTCCATACGCTTGGAAACCTTGGGAGTTCCGCGCGTTTCAACATAATCATGGGATGGATCTCCGGGAGTTTTGACCGCAAAATGGCCCTGGAAGCCAAGCGTCGGTGCCAGTGACTTTAACGGATGCCCTGCAGGAGCAATTGTCTTAAAATCTCCACGTGCTCCTCCAATTGCGACGTCGAAAAAAGAATCTGACTTCCACCCTGTATGCGCGTGCGCATGCGCCGGATGGTTTGAATGACGGCTGCGTTCACTCGTCGGCAGCACCACCTGTGGACGGACCGGCTGCTGCGCGAGGAGCTGATGCTGGCACTGACGCCGCTACTGGAGCGGCTGCAGCCTAGTCGCGAGGTGTGCGAGTTCTTCTCGCGCTTCTGCCGCGACTACCCGCGCTCCATCCTCGTCCAGCTGCGCGTGGCGCCCGTCGTGGAGAAAATACTCAAGCACAACGTGGTAAGGTGGGCACCAGGGTCGGGAGATGTCCATGGACCAGGCGGCGGAGTCGTTGGATGCTCTGTTTGCTACCTTTCAATGCTTCGCGCTGGTAGGCGTGCCCATGCTGAGCGATGTGGCGTGTGCGTTCAGTTCATGAGGACATACGGGTGGGTTCGAGTATAATGAGGAGGGCGCCGCCTCGCCAAGTTTGAAATTTTGGCTTTAGCTTGACGTTATGCCGTGTGGTAATGTATTAATCAAGATTCACTCCTCTCCCCTGTAAATTTAATCCCGCCATCAGCACGGGTTCGTTTCGTTTTGTATCTCCCTGTCCAGCACATTCCTATCATGTCCCACTCTCACCGTTCCCTCAACGTGCTTTCAGGACTTCAGCAAGTTCTTACACACGCGAAGGCTGGTGCAGGACCTTCTGCTGGCTCTGGGCAGCCAGGGCAGTGGCTACCAGGCCACCAAGGATCTCATTTGCAGGTATACCAGCGCTGGCAGCAAGTGCACGCTCACAGTTCGGTAGCCGCTGGCACAACATTACAGTGGCTATCCGGAGATCACACTCCCGCTCTCTTTTAGCCCCTTTTCCATTGCTGTGCAGAAAGTGTCGACGAGCCCTGAGCCCGCACCCAGCGCCCGCGTTGTTTACGTACACAGTGCAGGTCTGGTAATGCAAGCTCAGAGGAAAATATGCGAGTTTCGGACGGTCGATCGAGCCCTTTCCCTCTGTCAGCTTCATTGCTGGCGTCATGAGTCAGGTGTTCGCGGACGCCGCAGACACTGGTCGGTGTGCAGTGTCTGCGGCGTCCGCCTTGTCCGGCCTGTCAGCTGTCTCGTTGTACGTGCGTGTGTCTGCCGTGCGTCTGTGCTCTGCTGTGCCGTTCGTCTGCGCTGTCTGCTGTTCATGTGCGCAGCCGGCGTTCGCTTGGGAGCGGCTGTTTCTCTCGCCTGCGTAGCGTGTTCGTCTGCTGCCCCATGTCGGCTATCCTCGGCCACCAGCCGGGCTGATGTGTCGCGTCCCAGTCGAGGCTTCACTGCACGGTGGTCACGTGTCCGCCGTCGGCTGGTTATGTTGACCACATGGCATCGCCGCCTGGCCGGCCGCTCAGGCTGGCCGAGCGGCCGGGCGGCGGCGGCCCTAGCTGCTGCAGTGCGGACGCCGGACCGGGCCCGCCGCCCGGCTAGCCGGACGGGGTTCACTGGCATACGTGCCGAGCGCCGTGGCTGCCGCTCGGCGCCGACCCCTGTGCCACACGTGCCACTCGTTTGATGGCCTTGTGCTAATCAGTACGGGGAACCAAACCGTTCACCCGCCTTTAACGTGTGTCTTGCCTCCAAGCTCTCGGAAACAAGGCATCTCTGTCCTTATAGCCATGCGTTATAGTACATTTACATTGGCAAACAAAATATCAACTGCTACAAAATGCGGTTTACAGTCTGGAAGTTTATGTTTGCTCATTTGCTTTCCCAAGGGAACTGTAGCTTCCCAAGGAATACATAAGAGGTGGTTGTCGGCTGCTCGTCCAGCTGTGCTGTCGGGGTGCGGCGGACGTGGCGCACCAAGATAACTCGGCGTCATTTGGGACATAAGACCAGGTCCTGTCCGGACCATCCGCACCTGCTCACCGGGGGACCAGCTGATCACGGGGTGGTGTTGACTGGGCCCTGCAAACTAGAGCAAGACCGCCAGCTCGCTGGCGGCGAGAGAAGCTCTGGCGACTTTTCGGGAAAATGTAGGGAAATTTCGCGATTGCTGTGCGCAGCCAGTTGGCACTGAACAAGCTAGAGTTTTTAGGGATGTCAATGGCACTATGTGCCATGTGCTATTGCAGATTCGTATTCCAAATAACCATGATGAGCTTGTTGGTGTCCAGCTTGCTTTGCAGGCTTTTTTGGAAGTTCGATCGAAGTTCTTTTTTGGAAGTTCGTTCGAAGACGATACTGCAGTTGAAGGGAATTCAGAACAGAATAACTGCTCTCTGGCATAGCGTGTCTGATTGCTGCGGATGACAGCACTCCCGGCTGTCAGCTCTCTAAAGCGGCTAACGCGCCGAGCCTAAAAAGCCGCGTGCAGGACGAGACAAAACACGGGATACGACTCGGGCGCTAACAACTCCGCGTTCGATACTCACAAAGCACTGTCGGCAGAAGGTCAGTGCGCTCACTTGAGCGGGAGCTGTGGCAACTCAGGGATGACAGTTCTCGGTGAAAGCACACGGCAAAGCGCATTTCATCTACACGCAAAGCGCGAGACCACGTGGCAACGGGACACGTTCTTGTGTGGTCGTGTTGTCCTTCCACTGCGCCCGCCGCGCCCCTCCCGCCGCGCCGACGGCCCCTGTGCGCCACCTAACGATGACCTCTGACCTCCCTGACAGGATGCACGGCCCGGGCAGCACGTGCCCTCACCCCCGCGTGCTGCCCAACCTGGTGGCGGCCTGTCTGGGCGCCGTGTTCCTGCTGCAGGAGGCGTGGCGACGGCCGGCCGACGACCAGAACGCCCTCGGCCTGGCCACTGACCAGACGAAGGCGCACGAGCACCTCGACCTCTTCCTGAACGTTGTCGGATTTGTGTGAGTGTTTGGGGGGCTCTCTCTCTCGTCAGCCGTGGTGTCGTTCGTCATCCCTGAAGGAGGGAGGGAAGGGGGGGGGGGCGCGAGCGGCGTCGAGTGGGGTCTGTTATGTGCTCGGGTTGACGCTTCAGTGCTGGTCAGCAAGGGCGTGGGGAGTCAAAGTGAGCGGGGGGGGGGGGGGGGGGGGGGGGCAGGCTCACCCCAGCCTTCATTTTCCCCATGGTGAAAAGAAAGTATATTTTTCGTCGCGTTTCTTTACGAAAAGCGAGTTCTGAGATCGTTCTGCTCTTGGTGAGGTGGTCCTAATGTAACGCGTTGGATTGATGGGTGCACTTCGAGGTGATCTTGTTGAACATTCGCTCAGGTTCAGTGGGGTCGCCGTCTTGGCCGATAAATGTAATGCGCAGACGTCCGCGAACGTCACGTGTCGTGACGCACAGTTCCGGGACGCTGCGCGAGGTCACGGGGTCTGTTGAACCGGTGCATGCGACGTTGAGATATCTCCCCGACGGTATGTGCGAGCCCGGGCAACTGCTGTATCGCAACGTCGCTGCCATATCATTGTGGCAGCTGCAATTTAGATATCCGTTTACGTCCCCCCCCCCCGCCCCGGACGCATCCGGGATCCTATCTGGGGAGGGCTACGCTGATGAGGTGTCACGTGACGCCCCTCGGACGCATCCGGGGCTGAATCTGGGGAGGGCCACGCTGCTGAGGTGTTACGTGACGTTCCTCGGACGCATCCGGGCTTGCATCTGGAGAGAACCGCGTAGCTGAGGCATCATGTGAGGCTCCTCAGAGACGGTGCTTGCGCCGGCCCGGATCTAGAGTCCGCGAGTCTTCGTCTCACTTCGGAGTGCAAAACTTGAGTGTTCGCCTCCAGCTTTATACGTCCATGTACCACGAACCTCTCTGCGATAGGGCGAAAATACCCCGCACATGGAGCGCTCCGCGCCCGCGAAATCGATGTCCGCAGACCAGGCCACGGTCCGCCGGGTGGGCCGCGCCCCCGCGCCGCCCACCCGGCACGTGGTGCGGCACGTGGGCCACGTGTGCACGTGTCGGCGCCGCCCGCTGACCCCCGTCCCGCCGCAGGTCTGAATGTGACGACTGGCGGCCGGGGCTGGCACTGCTGCTGCAGCCGATCCCGTTCCCGGAGACGGCGGTCAGCCACCCGGCCTTCGTGAGGTGAGTGCGCGCCGTGTCCGGCGCCGCCGCGGCGTGTGACGCGCGCTGTGCGCTGGGGTCGCCACCTCCCGCCGGCGGTGGGTCTTGGTTTGTCTGGCCGCCCAGCGACGCCGGAGATTTTGTAGGCTGGTGGGTGACGCGGGTCGGCGTCTGGAATCGCGCCCGTGTTGTTCGCCCGTCTCCAGAGTTCCTTCATCGTTTGCTGTCAAATGGGTCATTTATCCCAGAGGGCGTTGGCTGGTATTGAGCTCTTAGCTCTCAGTGGCCATTATTACAACCTCGTTTCTATTATAACGACGTCACGTATCCAGCGGACGTTACGCGGTCGTCCAGTGGGTTATTATAACGTCGTTTCTGCGGCGGACGTTGATGTCTTCACACTCTGTTGCCATCGGGTTTGGCGCGGCGGCGACCTTGCTGAAGCGCACCGGTCCCAGCATCCGTGCTACTGTCAACGATCGTCCACTATAGCCCCAGCAAGGTGCCGTCGGGAGCAGTCCCATTGGCGCTCGCTTCGGCGACGCGGTGCAGCCAGCCGTCCCAGCGGTGCACATCCCCGAACAGCCGGAGCCCTTTCCTGGGGTGGTCATCGGACCAGCGCAGCAGGGCGATCTGTGACCACCAGCTGGCGGGGCGCGACGCCTCGCTCCCGCTCCCAGCCGGCGGAGCGCGCTCGCTCCCGTCGGCTCGCTCCAATTCGGCGTGGAGCTGTGGCTGGCGCCTGGCCGCTTCCCGGTACAGGCGGCATAGCGTCTGCGCTTTCCCCTCAGCGCCGCCGCCGCCGCTGTCGTCCGCATCTGTTGCGTTCAGTCGCAGGTGGCGGCGGCAGTGGCGCAGGCCGCACTGCGCGACGCGCAACATCTGTCGCCGTCGGTCGGCCGCCGCGTCACCGCTCTCACCGCGGGCGCCGGTCGCGGCGGCTGTCCGCACGTCGTCCACGTGGTCAACCCCGTCCACCCGGTCCACATCGTCGCACGCCATCCACTCGGCGGCAACGCGGACGAATGCGCCGAGCGTCAGGCGGCCGGCGGCGAGGTTTCGCAGCAGACTCTTCGCCTGTGGCCCCAGTTCAGTGCGACAGGCGCGAAGGACGCAGGCAGCGAAGGGGGTGGGAGGGAGCGCGGGGTGAGGCGGACCCCGGCACGCGGTGGCCACGCCTAGAAGCGCCAGCCATAGGTGCGCCCGCCACGGTCTGGATGACATGGAGAATGGATTCCGTTAGGTCAGATCGGACGGGGCATAGGCCTGTGCTGGGTTGACTGATAGCCCGTCCAAATGGCGGGCCGTGGACGGGCGTGGACGGACTGGCCTCTGTTACGGACGACGTTTGGGATAAGGTGCGGTGATCGGTACCGACGCTACTCACCTCATTGTAGGCCGTCTTTTTGTGACATAGAAGGCTACCTTTTTACGTTGATGTTACACGTAACACTTCGGATTGGGTGTATTTCTTGTTGGGAACGGATGCGTACAGCGTGCATCCAGCTTACACTGCTCTGCTGTTCGTTGTGAGATAATGGCAATTGCAGTCTTGTTCCTTACACGTAAATCAAACTGTTAATTTGCTGGGTCATGTGGGACTTGGCGGAAAATTTTAAGATCAACAGCACTGCGCCATGTTTTGATTTGTTTAATTGATTAAAAGCAGGCTCTCGTGCGTTGCTCATGTGATGGTACCGACGAAAAGGAATCCGCTTATTATAAGGGTCCGTTCACAACGTAATGTATCTCATAAAGTTTAAGAGCGCTTTTTGTGATCCGCTGTAGTTACGTCAGGGTCGTTTCCATTTCACCAGTTTGCGGTTCGGTCAGGTTTAAATCCTAGGCTTTCAGCGCCACGTTGTTCCGGTGATCTCTTTCACACGAACGTGTATAATTGAGGGGGTTCCCTGTGTACTTCATATGTTCTCTTCATTTGTTCTGTGCGCAGAGATCGGCGTTTGTTGGCTTACGTTATTGCGGTACTGAAGAGGCTGCGATAATTTGGCTATACTGGATGGGTTATTCATGAGCGTCGTGAATTAGTTTGCTGTGAGAACTTTTAATCGAGCTTAATTCAACAGCATTTCGAACGGGTGGTCTGCTGCCTCGTGCTGCCCATTTGTACCACATTCTCCCTGCTTCATGCTGACGATGCGGCAGGCTCGTTCAGACGTCATCTGTCCTTGGACAAGCTGTCGGTGCCATGGACGCTGTCGTAATGCGCCTTATCATCGCCGTAGATTGCCTCCTCAGCCTGGACCGAATGTCCGCCCAGTGCTAATTATACCCGTTGCGAGCCCGTAAGGTCCGTATGTGCCGCTGACGTCGGTGGTGACCTTGCCAACGTCGCTTGACGGTGGCGAACTTGGACAGGGCGCGTGGTGACAGCAGGTGGCAGCCATAGGCCCTTTTCTTGTGTGGTTTCTCCGCTGGTCGCGCTGTGGTTTGTCATTGCTTCCTCATTCTTAGGAGCGTTCAGTGGGCTCCACGCCCTGCGTCGTGCTGTGCCTCCTTTCCATCTGTGGTCGCCCCGTGGACGGATTCTGGCACACATTAATCATAGCCGCTGTTGAGCTTGCTGTCACGTCTCCTGCCGGAAACTCCCACTGCTTAACATCAGTCCCAGCTCGTTCACGACGCCAATACCTCCCCCCCCCGCCCCCAACCACCACTACCACCTCCCACCCGCCCTCCTGTCCGAGGCTGACAAACCCGTCCCGGCGCCGTCGTCTCCCCAGCGCCGCGCGGTGGCAGTGATCCGTACTACAGGTTGTGCTCTGTCGCCGCAGGTCGCTGGCGCCTGTCCTGAAGCGGATTGGCTCCGACCCGCGCTGCGAGGTGCACAAGATGGTGCTGGCCACGCGCGAAGAGAAGGACGGCTGGCTGGACGTGGTGTGCCCATCGTCTGCCTCCTGCCCGGACGACGGACAGCTGTGGGCCGGCATGGTGCGTGCAGAACTGGACCGGTTTTGACACAGAGTTGTCCTGTCCTGCTCAACGGGTCATGCTCGTGGGACCATTTTCTTGGCACCCAGGACGTCATGTTTTCGTTCAACCTGCATACCCTGATTTGTCTGACCATTAGCATACATTGTGACGCAATCTAAGAAAACAATCAAAAGAAAAGGACTATAAACTAGCTAGTATGACTAGTATAAACTAGTAGTTCTACTAGTTTACTAGTACAAACCAGTAAACTAGTATAAACTAGTAGTTTTGGCGCACGCTTGTCATGAATGCGCGGCTGTGCGTCTGAAGTTTACCGTCGTTGCAGCTGAGCACGCTGCTGACCTGCTGTTGTCGGCGGAAGGCCTTCCTCAAGTCGCTGCTGAAGGTGCTGGGCGCCTGTCAGCTGATGGCCCTGCGCGGAGACACCACGTGCCAGGTGAGAGGGACGCTCGGACGGAGCAGTGTGTTGTGTGTGGTGTTCGACCCAAGGCCAGCTGGGTGTGTCATCGCGCGAGCTTGTAAAGACGCTTCTTTGATGCCGTGTGGTGTCCAGGAGCGAGGATTAGAAAGTTCAGTACTGTTGGAGACGGCGGACGTGAGGGAGTTGGTAGTAACACGGCCGCTTTCTTGTCGAGAGGCGCTGTCTTGTCTAAGCCACATTTCCGACAGACCACACCGCGTCCCCGGTCTTGCCGCGGAGCCAAAGTCACCAGCTTGCGTGGTTGGTATCTGTAACGGCTTGAGCCCGACTGGGGGTGCGCCGCCGGTCGCAGCCGCGCCGACCTGTGTCAACTCCAGGGGCGGCACCGGGACTGGGTGCCTAAGGAGGGGATACACGGTGATCTTTGGGACTAGCCGGCTTTTGAACGACAGAAGCCGGGCATTGAGAGGAGCGGGGACGTGGATAATTGGGGTTAATGATTTAATCATGCAGGGTTCTAACATTACGAACGGCACGCCCTTGGTGCAAGCAAGAAAAGCCTGGAGCTCTTCTGTTTTTTGTGTTGTTTTTTGGACATGATCTTAGAGCTTTTACAATGGCAGACATCGGTCCTTCAGTGTGCTAGGATGAATTGATGAAGCGGCGTTTTCAAGCAAATGATGTCTACATTGTCAATAATCGACGTTTCAAGTTGGATTTTTGATCACAGATGAACAAGGTCAAGGAAATCATCGCTCTTAAAAAAGCCACGAAAATCCTGAAAATGCTCCGAGTCTGTAGAGATATTGCCACTGAAAAATACCCAAATGATAAACCATCCGTCGTAAGGCGTACATCATTCGTCCATCATAAAGCGAAAATCAATGATCCGTCGTAAAGCGTCACTGTCGTCAGGGTGTCCGCGAAGGTCCCAGTGTTCCACGTGCGCCGGGCCGCCGGCGTTCCCTCGAGCCCTGGCTGACGGGGCACGGCGGGCGTTGCAGGAGATCCTGTGTCAGATGCTGGAGTGGGGTCTGATCGCCGACTGCCAGGACCAGCGCGTGACGGTCAGCACGCTGGTCAGCACGGCCAGCGGCGAGGCGCGCTACCGGGCCCTCTGCGACCGCATGAACCAGCTGCGCGAGCTGGTCAGTACAGCGCGCGCGCGCGCCGGGTGGTGGTGGAGAGGGGCAGCGGTCACGAGAGCTGGACACTAGCCTCGCGCTGCTCGGGTCATGGCCTGGCTGTATTTTGCAACGTATGTGTTATTGCGTCGGTTGTCATTAACGCGATTGATCTCGCTGATTGTTGTGAGAGGGCTCGAGATGCGCCTGGTGGTAGATCTGGAGCCGGTGACCGGGTGGTAGGTGTTGAGCATGGGTGCCTGCGCGCGAAGTACGCAAACGTGTTTTCAGTCGGGGGAAGACATGTGTTTTTTACTTCCTCCTCCTCCCCCCCCCTTCCCGAATCCAATCAAGTATTAGCGGACACACAAGGGGCCGCCCCGATTTAAAAGGGTTACATCTGGAAGGGGTACATCTTCTTATAATCTTGAAACTGGCGCTTGCTTCCATGACGCGCCGGCTGCCATGGTGCCCCGCCGCTCACCGCTCACCGCCCACCGCCCACCGCCCACCGCCCACCGCCCACCGCCCACCGCTCACCGCCACCTCGCCGCCCCGCCTCGGTCGTAACGCGCCTCCTGCTCCGCCCGGCAGCAATCGAAGGGCGGGCCGCGCGTGCTGAGCCTGCCGAGCCGCTCTACCGACCACGACCTGGCGCAGCTGCTCTCCACCGGCTGCTTCGGCAACCTGGAGGCGCTCAGTCTGGCCTTCACCTCCATCACGTCACAGAGCGCCGAGCAGCTGATCAAGCTGCCCAACCTGCGCTGCCTCAACCTCTGGTGCACGCAGGTGGGTGCCGTGTGGTGCGCGCGTGGTGTGTGGCTCAGCGGAGAGGGGTGGAGGGGGGGGGGGGGGGAGAATTCGGACTTGTTTGATGTCGTCGGAAAGATTGTGTTGTGTGCACGGGTGGTCGGACTGCGTTCTGGACGAATGGCTTCTGACAGTTGGTAACGGGTGCCGCTGAATAGTCTTGTCATTGTTCTCGAGTCTTCGAGACTCCTTCTCTTGTATTTGATTTGCAACGCGACGCTGCGGGCCGTCAGAGTGGCTGACCAGGGGCCGCTGTTGCAGTTTGGCGACGACGGCTTGCTGCTCATCACGGAACACCTGCCTAAGCTGGAGGTGCTGAATCTGTGCGAGACGTACGTCACCAACAAGTCGCTGCCGTCGCTAGCCGGTGAGTGCCGTTTGTCAGCCGCGTCCACCCATGCTGGGCTGGGACGCGTCGCCGCCGTCGGTGGCCGCATTGTGGGCTGGAACACGGACAGAAGTGGAAGTTCGTGTCCGTGGAAGAGAACACGGACAGGCTGGGGGCTGAAATTTGCATGCGTGCGCCTTACTTGTGAGTGTCTGTGCGTTTCGTTGCAACTCGCTTTTGACCCCTGGTATTCAGTCCCCCCAAGTTGGGGGAGGGGGGGGGGGCGGGGCAAACGGGCAGATGTCACGTTCTCTCAAACCCTGGCTCGAATGTGGGTTTGTGCTGGCCGGAGCGTGACGTGGCCTGTCTCCCGCCGCAGCACTGAAGGGACTCCACACGCTGAACCTCAACAGCACCAAGCTGTCGGCTGAGACGTGGACGGCCCTGCGCATCCAGCTGCCTGAGCTCAGGGAGGTGGACGTTCGATACACGGACGCCTGGTGACGCGGCACCAGCGGCACCAGCCGGGCGCCGCTGCGGCGCGTCGGCGGTCGCAGCCGACGTGTGAGCCGTGCCGTTCGTGAGCGGCGTCTCGCGTGCGCTGCACGGCTCGCCTCGTGTTTTGATAGATGTCTTATTTAAACGAACGTTGTTTTGGAGGCGCATGGCGCTGACGGACGGCGGTGATGAACTTGTGTTTGCGCAGGACGCCGCTGGAGTGCGCTGGCATCGGGGCGCGCGCGTGCGCGCCTGACTGCATGGACTTCCCCGTCGCGCTGCGGGAGCAAGAGCATGATTTGTTTTACTTGGGGGACCGCCTCGGTCTCCGACCAGCATACTCACGCACCTGGGCCCGGCCACCTGTGGGTCGCCCTTGCGGTGGCCCTCGGACAGTGTTGGGACTGCAGCCGTTCACTCAGGGCTGCGGTTGCTCACCTTTCATATCTGCGTGCGCGCGCGCCGCCGCCGCCCCGACCGGCGCCGCCTGTGGGCTCGGCGCAGTGGCATTATCGGCGTGGCGCGCGTGACCGTTTTCGTACCGCCCTGTTGCTACCCGCGTTTTGCATGTTTGTTCCAGTATGTGCGCTGTCTGTCGTGTAGGGCCGGGACGGGGTGACCGCCGCCCTGAAACCCGGGGCGGGACGTCCACTGTCGGGTGCGATCGTCAGCGTGTGTGTCGCTTGCGTCGGCGGCAGGTGTGGCCGCCGCACCTTTTCTTACTCGCGTGTCTGAGGCGTCCGGTCGCGATTCTGAGCGACGCCCGCGTCCCGCGGCCGTCGGACCCGTGTCGGCGAGGGTCGCGCCCAGAAGCGCCTGCACACATGTGCGCTGGCTCGTCCCGGCCCTGGTACCGGAGTAGTCGGCCGTGGGTCGAGCTAGCGCCGTGCCCGACGGGGGCGCGGCGGCGCGGTTCTGTTCCATCCCGCGCGTGCTGAGCGGGCGTCTGCACCCGGTCCGGTTCGCCCTCGGGACGTTTCTCTCTGCCGCGCATTTGGGCGCGGTCGGACATCGCGCCTGCACGACCACCGTAACCAATGTGAACGAGCTTACGTCGGAACAAGAGGTGACGCTGTCTTTTGGCTTTTGATTGGACGTCGCAGCAGTGACGTCAGCGGCTGGGAGGTCCGTGTGAGCGCCGACAGCTGCGGCGTGTATGGTGCTGCTCACCCGCCGGGTGTCTCGGGCGTCGGATTCCGTCCAAGGAACACACGAGGAACGGACGAGGGCGAGGAGACGGCGAGTCACCGCGGAACGGACGCGCGCTCGATCTTGAGTGGAGTTGGAATAATGGCATGTGGAACTTACCAAATTTTGTTGGGGCTGGGGCTTGATCAGTTCTTCTGTGCCACCGTTATTGACATCGGAGGCCGAGTGTAATGAGTTGATTATAACAACTGAAGTGCTGCGGCGAATCTCAGTGGCCATGTTCTCTCGAGGCGTAATCGTTGCGCTGGTAGTTCGCATGCTTATTCACGTTCTCAGTTCCACTACTCAAACACCGCCGAAACCTCGCCCCGTGCACTCCGTTGATCAACAGCCAACGAGTTCCTCTAACAATCAAACGGCGTTTATTAATGACTCATACGCAAAAATACGAAAACGAAACTGAGACACGGCTCGGACGTCGGACCGCCCTGCGAACACAGAAGCGGCACCGCAGGCCGCTCGCGCCGCGGCCCTGCGCGTTCACCGCGCCGCGCGAAGTGCTCCATGTGCTTGTGTGCGCATCGCGTTGTGCTCCACGGTCGGTACCGTTTGTGACGGCAGCTGACGGTGGCGGCGGGCGGCATCAACCGGTCCGCGCGGCGCTCGTGCGGCGATCCAGGTGCGAACGAATGCGGTCGGCTGCGCGGCAGCTCAGCTGGCAGCATATGACGTCACGGGAGCATACCAATCAGGATGAAACAAGCAGCCACCACGATAAAGTACACGCAGCCAGCCAAAGGACAAAGACGCACGAACCGCCGAGGATAAATGGGTGCTAGGCCGTCTCGTTATGTAACAAACTACCTCGCCCACGCGCCGTGCTATCGCACATTACGCGGCCAGCGACGGCTAGCCGCGCCTACCAACATCGTCGCGGATCCACGACGCGCAGCCGACGGTCTCGGAATTTATGGACCGGTCCGGTGGCCGTCGGCCCAAGCGGCGCAGCAAAATGAGAACAAGCCATACGGACACCCACGACGGAGCTGTGCGTCTTCAATCGGCCGGCAGTGTGAAAAAGCTGCGGAATCGAAATTATTGTTGACAAGCGTGCCCTCTCGCGGGAGGCACAAAGACCGTTTCAAGCCGCCTACCGCGGGCTAGCGCACTGATGCAATGGCGCGTGCAAGGGCCGGTAGACAGTCTGCTCTGAAACTGATTGGCTTGTTACTGGCTCACATGGGCCCAACGTGTCTACTAGTGACGGCACAGAAGCCCACAGGAGACAGATCGAAATAGACCCCAATCCGGCCAGAAGCGGAAAAGATGACGCAGCTGACACGAACCATCGACGTCCCTTGCGGCAGATCCGGGCACGACCAGGGGACAACAGCACTTCCCTGGCCAGGCCGTCCCAAACACCGACACTCGCAGACATCAGTGGCAGACGAACGCCGGTCTAGCCGGCCGGGCGGCCACGGCGGGTCACGGGACCCGGTCGGCAGTGGCCCGAGGGGACGCGGGGGTCGCCCTCGAGCCAACGCCGGCCGACCGCCAGCCGCTATGGTCCCAACAGTGTCACAGTGACGTCACGACGCGGCGCCGCCGACGCCGCGGCGGCCACAGAACACGTGGACATCGGTCGCGCTCTGTCGCCGCCAGGGTCGCTAGGCTCGCCCGCCGGGATCGGCCCCGCCCGGCCGATCACGTGACCCCGCTGCGGGGACAGCCCGCCGGCAGTCACAAAACATGGATAGCTATCGGCGCGCGCTATGTTACAAAACTGCCCCGTGTCAACGACCCACGAAACAAGGTAACCCCTGACCCGGGTTAGGAGATCGCAAGCCAGTGGACCGTGCGGGTGGTGACGACTCGGTCGCTACTGTGCTGGCACCTATCGTTAAGCAGGTAAGATAAAAGTTCCAATAGTCTCCACGCGCACATCGCTCGTTTGCGGCTCCTGCGCACCACAGTATTTCCGATTCCGAATTGCCACACTTGAGCCAACCAGCGTGCAGTCGAGCCCACTCACGAGGAAATAAATAGATCCATATCTCAGCACGTGTTGATGACTAGTATCGTCCTCCGCGGGCTTCTTCGTCATCGAAGTCCTGAGGTCGGGACGCGTTACCCGCAAGATACCAGCGCCCCTGGCGGCAAGCCGCGAAACACCGGCGTGCCGCGCGGCTTAATAGCGCGCTCGATGACACAGCACGGCCTAGTAGAGGCCACATCCTCGCAGGTTGTTGGCGATGATGACGTCGGTGACGGCGTCGAAGACGAACTGGATGTTGGTGGTATCGGTGGCGCACGTCATGTGACAGTAGATCTCCTTGCTGGTGGACTTGTTCTTGGCCTCGAACTGAGCCTGGATGTAGGCAGCAGCCTCGCCGTACTCTTGGGCGCCTGAGGGCAGAGCCAAGGATCAGCACGGCAAACAGCTGGATGGATATGAACATGCTGCGATGCATCGAACGCACTGCGATCTATCACTGACATCTGTTATAAATGGATAATCGCCACGCCACCACGCAAAGCAGTTTCTCAGTTAAGGCGATCACGACTGCATTCCAAAAGGAACATCACAAATGCACAGGCCAATAAAAACATTCGGAACTGGCCGCGTCGGCCATCGACCATCACGCCCCTCGCGTGCACGGCCAATACCACCGCCGCCAACACGAACGCCGAACCGAGCCGACGGCAGCCTATCTCTTCCCCAGCGACCGGGCGGCATTGGCGCGCAGCGAACGGTGAAGATACCGCCCGAGAAAAACCGCCGCTCGCCCGTTACCATGGCGACCGCTCGGCCCAAGCCGCCGCGGACGAGTCTCCCGTCGCCATCAACAGTCAGCTGACTGCCAGTTGATGAGACGCCTCCCCTCTCCCCGCTCTCCCACCATCCCTCGGGCGAGGCGCGCGACTGTATGGTGGTCTAGGCCACCGCATCGGCCGGATATTGGATCGCGTGCATCAGAACACGGCGCTGCCTAATTCTTACAAAAAGCGAGACCTTCTGATGACATTCAGACAGCGGCGTGCAACGACAGCGTTGGACTCGGCATAAGGAATGGAGGGGACGGGTGAAGTTTAGCAAAATCTGTAGGAGCCGAACAGGAAAAATAGCTGAATGCGCTGCTAATAATACGCTAAAGGGAGTTCCCCCCCCCCCGGATTTCACCCGCTTTTTTCTCAGAGTTGGGGAGCCATCCCCTCCCCAACCGTACAAGAAATTGCCCCCTTGGGGAAGACCATGCGCGTGTGCTTCATACAGATACTTCTCGCCTATGGCTGTCGATGGCGATGAGCCCACAGCGATGGGCCAAGATGTGCACGACACGCTGGTTACGTGAGTGACAGGTTTTGTCAGTTTGCACAGATAAGACGGTTGTATTAGCCGTGTTCCTCGGAGAAAACCAGGAGTGTGGTGATATGGTTGGGTTATACCCAGCTATTATTATTGTAGATGGGCATAATATATACCCAACTATACATTAACGTTGGGTATAGAGATATAGCTCGGTATTGCCCAACTATATCTCCATTCTCCTCGTTTTTCTCCAAAGAATACGGCTAATACTACCGTCACATCTGTGTCGATGGTGTTCCTCGCTAATGCACTGAACAGCTTACGTAAGTTTGGTGAGTTTGGTGAAGAAAACAGAGCTTGCGCCAGACACACAAGACCTAAATAGACCAGACACACAAGACCTTAATAGACCAGACGCACAAGACCTTAATACACCAAGACCAAGACCTTAATACACCAAGACCAAGACCTGCTGCAGCGCTCAGTAACTGAGTAAGCGTAAGCGACGCATGAAGGGGAAGACCAGCCACACACGGCCAGCGACAGTGGCTGCGCTGTCTGGCAGCTCGATGGCTGATGATAGCTGGTTCGACAGCTCGATGGCTGATGACGGCTGGTTCGACAGCTCGATGGTGACGTACCGGGGTACTCGGGCTGACGTACCGGGGTACCCGGGCTGGCGCATCGGGGTACTCGGGCTGACGTACCGGGGTACTCGGGGCTGACGTACCGGGGTACTCGGGCTGACGTAACGGGGTACTCCGGGCTGACGTACCGGGGTACTCGGGGCTGACGTACCGGAACACTCGGGCTGACGTACCGGGGTACTCGGGCTGACGTACCGGGGTACTCGGGGAAGCAGATAGTGAGCGGGGACTTCTTGATCTTCTCCTCGAACAAGTCCTTCTTGTTGAGGAACAGGATAATGGACGTCTCGGTGAACCACTTGTTGTTGCAAATGGAGTCAAACAGCTTCAAACTCTCCTGCATTCGGTTCTGAGGGGAGTTGGTTGGTTCTGGTTAGGACAAAGCCAAGCCAGTGGCATTGATCTTCTCATCACCAATCTCCTTGGGTCTATCACATTTTATGTGGTATATACTTATCACACTCGACCCATCCTGTGACACCTAACATTTATTTTCCAAAACTTTCACTAGTTTGTTGGGCCTGCCGACTTCATGGCGGGCAAGCCTAACACCACAGTTACCTTCACCAAAGTCCAACTTTCTGCTGCCTCAATCATCCCAGCATGGTCTCACAACACTCGCCCTACATTCCTCGTCACTGATCATGAAGATGCATTAACCACTCCCATTAGGTAGGCTTGGATACGCCGCCTGGTCGAATGATCAGAAACACAAAACTCGTACAGACACGCTCGCATGTCGCTGTGCGGATCACCGGAGATGTATGCGTGACCACCGCGACGCGACGCGACATATTTAATCTAAGCTAACACATCGGATCCATGAGAACAAGAAAATGAGATGTCACAGGCCTTCTCAGCTGGTCCCAGCCCGCAAGAAACGAAGGCATTGACATTTGTGATGAGCCAAACTGATTGCAGCCTTCGTTACTCACGGGCTGATCATGCACCCAATGACCTGATGAGAAGCCGAAGCCAAGCCCACCAGCCACCCTTCCACGGCATCGAACGCCGCCGCACTGCGCGTGCCTCCGCTCACCGTGGTCTCGTCCTCGTGCAGGACCTGGTCGTACTCGGACATGGCCACGCAGAAGATGATGGCCGTGACGTCCTCGAAGCAGTGGATCCACTTCTTCCGCTCCGAGCGCTGGCCGCCCACGTCAAACAGCCTGCGCGGCGGCGGGTGGTGACGTCACATCACTCCAGCCGGCAGCAGCCCGTGGTGAGCACGAGGACCGGGCCCGCCGCGGCCGCCCCAGTGACCGACCGGCAGCCCCGAGGGCATTCGGCGGCCCGGCGGCTGTGTTGACATCGCCGGGCTCGATTTACCGGCGCCGATAAACCGTTTATCTTTGGAGCCGGATCCCGACAGCGGCGAGGGCCGATCCCCGGCCCGCCGCGGCTGGCGGCGGGCCCCGTCGGGACCGCCTCGCCAGCAGACGGGATGCCCAGCGTAGGGTGCAGGGAGGGGACTCGGGCGGGGCGCGGGGAGGGAACTCGGGCAGGGTGCGGGGAAGGGACTCGGGTAGGGCGCGGGGAGGGGACTGAGGCAGGGCGCGGGGCAGGACGCGGGGAAGGGACTCGGGCAGGGTGCGGGGAAGGGACTCGGGCGGGGTGCGGGGAAGGGACTCGGGCGGAGCGTGGGGAAGGGACTCGGACAGGGCGCGGGGGGGACGCGGGCAGGGCGCGGGGGGCGGGGACTCAGGCAGCGGCAACGTGCAGCACAGCGCTTTCGCTTTGTCGGGACAAGGCCAAGGTGGGATGTTCGAAAGGAGACGACTCGGCGAATTCGGCTATCTGAGCGCCAGACCAAGTTGGGACAAATAAAACGCTAGATGAGGAATTATGAAAAAGTTGTGTTTCAGGATCGCAGAGGGCCCAATTCGGGGTTTAAGACGCTGATGGATTATTGACAATGTCATGGCACAGGTAGCCTTTTTTGGCAATTAACTCGGGTAGCCCAAGTGGCCAACAAGTTCAGCGACACCCAGACCGTGCTACCCACTTGAAATTGAGGTTCTTGAAAGAGAAATGCACTTCGACGATGCCGGTGGTTTTGACCCGCGTGCGCAGGATGTCCTGCTCAGTCGGCTGGTAGTCCTTGGCGCCCAGCCGCTCCAGCTCGTCCAGGAAGCTGCGCACAGAGAGCACACCCAGTCACCGCCTGAGTATCCTGAACCCAGCACCGGCGGCCCCATCAAGACGGCGCCAAGACGGCACGCGATGCGCAGCGAACAGCCGTCACACCGAGCTCCACCAGATGTCGCGTCACGCACTCGGACACACACGATCCGCAGACACGCCTCATTAGACAGCCCAACACGAACGACGGGCAGCCCAACGCGTCGGGTCGCCACCTAGTATCATCGCCAATAGGCTTCATCGCGACACATAGCTGGTGACCTCGATCACCTAGGTGATAGGTGACGTCATAGAGCGCGCGGTGGAAAATGTCGCCTATTCGTCAGGTACGCGCCTTATTGACATCTTGGGCATCTCAGGCATTTTGAGCATCTTAGTGACACCTTTGAGACCGGTGCTGAATAAACGTCAGTACGGCTGGCATGTTCACCGAAGCGGAGTATAGACGACTCAATATTCTTGACGTCAAGCACCCATGCGAGGCATCAATACACTTCTAACTTCGTGCGAAACTGATAAAGTTTTTTACCTTCCCGGCATCACATACTGCGTTATTGATAAACGTAGCCTTGTTGGCACTACATATATAAGACCCTATAATTTCTGTCTAAACAGCTTAAATCACGAATTTGACGGCATAGTACGCGCATAGACTTCAGTCCGATTCCCTGCGTGAAAATAGGGTAAATTGGCAGTGTAAATGCATGTTTAGCGAAAAGATCGATTGCCTCGTGCATCCGTTTCTTTTTCAGTCTTCCATTTTTATCTTTCGGTTGCTGCTTTGCACTGCTGGTCCACTTTGGCGACGACTGATCAGGCGGCGGCATGGATAGTATGGTCACTTTGGCGACGACTGATCAGGCGGCGGCATGGATAGTATGGTCATTTGTCATATCCTGGCGGACCGGAAGGATTTCCTCTCCACTACTTCCTTTTCCGTTAGTATGCGCCCGAGTGGCCGGTTGGATACCCCTCGCTCGGGTGGGGGTCAATTTGACCCACTGAGGTCTCAGAAGTCAGAGAGCTAGAGGCACCAAATTTACGGGGTGTGTTTGGCTGCACGTGAACATACTTGGGTCAGTTTTTAGGTTCCTAGGTCATAGCCTTTGGGTCGAACAAGGTCAAACACGGTCAAACCCTAGGTTGGTGTCCAAAATGCCAACAGAACCAAGATACCTGTTCTAAGCGAGAGGTCACATGCTCATTTCAGATTACTGACCTCGTTTGACCTCTCGAAGGTCATGGTGACCAAAATTATACAAGACTGCCTTGATTTTTGCATTTCACTAAGCGGCAAAGACTATGTTATGCGATATGCTCTTAAACACAAAATGTTGACCTGGGTCATTTTAAGTCAGTGGCCTATTTCGACCTTTAAGAAGAAGTTTATGGAAGATGTGTAATGCCGTTACTGTTGTCAATAAATCTAAAATGAGCACCAGAAACTATCTCATATAGCAGGTTTTGACAACGGTCTGACGTTTATATCTAACCCTAAGTCAATGGAATTTGTTCATTTAATTGTTGTGCTGCCCAAGGAAGTATCTCAGAGCTGCATGAGATCGTCTAACACTCCACTGTTGCATCAGATTGAGCGATCCCTGAAATTGACTCCGCTGAATCCATGGCCTGAATTTAACCTGCCGGAGGTCAGCGACCTTACAAGGTACATCTAAATTTTTGATACCAAACTATCCACTATTCGATTGTCTACAGCTATGCAAAAATGGGCGCGGCTACGCCGCGCCGTTCTAAAACCGGTCCGGAAAAACCTTTGGAGATCAAATTGCCCCCACCCGAGAGCGTATCAGTGACGACCACTCCCGCCAGATAGCGCCTCGTCGTCGACACGCGCCACGGCCAGCCTTCAATGAATACGGCGGAGCTGATGCCGTAAATAGCGTCCGCATCCGCCAGGCGGTGACAAATACGGCGCCTCCCGAGACAGTTCTGGCGCGGCCCAAGTCAGATTGGGTCAAATTGCCGTCATTTTCTGCCGCCTGAGCCCGTCAACCAGAGAACATTGGTGTCGTCAGGAGATAGGCGCAGCTGGTGCCGGGGCGGTGGTACTAATTGCACCTCCCGCCGCTGCAACCAACCGACGCGACGAGCTCGAGCATCCAGGAATCGCGGACGTGTGTGTTCAGAAATCACGGGATGTGAAGATTAATTTTCAGCGGTGGTTTGTTCAGAAATCGTGGGATGCATTTGTTCAGAAATCGCGAGCGTGTTTATTCGGAAATCGTGAGATGCATTTGTGACGTGTGGCGCTCCGCATTGGCGTTCCGCATTGACGCAACTGACGCCAAACTACTATCTTTTCGAGTGCCCCTCTTTCACGCCGCACTGCAGCATCCAGTGGCCAACCGAGCGGTAGGTGTGGCAGACCGCCAATCGCTAGAACTCAGCGTCACCATATTCGCCTGTCGGGGGCCAGGGATATCTTTGTCTACAACTTGCTTACTGGCGTACAGTGTGTTGTGACGCCTATTGTTGAAGGACCCATGACGAGAAATCACTCGCAGCAATCCATTCGTTCGAAATTCAAAACGAAGCTCAAGGTATACCGACGCTTTTCGGAAAATATTTTACAACATTACATATCAAATTTAAAACAAACACCCCTTATGTCCAGTTCAGCACGATAATGAAAAATATAATTATCCTAATTCAGCTTGGCTTTATACGGTCGGTTTTACGTCGCGAGTAAGGCCTCACTGTCTTATAAACGCGCTCATTTAGGATTTGTGTGCTAAGCCCAGTGAAACTGACCGGCGCTGATGAAACCCGGGTGATTTACGGCTTGTGTCTATTGAGCCCAGACCCACTGAGATGGCCCCCGCATCGTCCTGTGTTAATCGTCTGGATTTTCCTCCTGGACGCAGCATCTTATTCCTCTAAAAACGCCAAAAGCTTGTAGGCAGGACGCGCCAGACATTGGGATTTTACGACGCACTTAACTGTTGAGGCTACACGGCATCGTCTGTCTTTCACCTAGGATGGAAGGGCGGACGCCGGCAGGAATTGAACCCACATATCTCTGGGCCGCAAGCAGCACAGCTCAACCACTATACTGCTGAGCCCCCCTACAGGCGGGGTGGTCAAGCCAGTGGGCACTGCCAGTTTCCCATACTTGCCGGGCAAATATTTGTCTCGCTAGGAACAGAAATCCATTCACCCATTAAGGACCGAGCGGTCATTCTCTAGCCCTCACTGGATACAACCCCCTTGTTCCTCAAATGTGCGTGCACTGCCCGGTGGTGTGAAGTCACTGTGACTGCACTTCACTGGCGGGGCGACACGGCTTGGTCCAACAATGCCGGACCAAAAACAGAAGCGGATTAGCCCGAGAAATAGGCGATTCAGAGCCGTAAAAAACGCGATCACCATGCCACAAGAAGTTCCAGCATTTCTCGCCAGGGCACCAAAAGCGAAACAAAAAAATCAACAAAGCCAGATATGCACGGCGGTCATTAGAGCCCTGCCTCGTGACTGCGTTAATCCGCTGGTGGTGGGTGGGTGACGTAACCCCAGACAGGCTCGACCTCGAGCGCTGGTAGCCAGGCTGACCCGTTGTTCAAGGTCACTGGGCAGCAGCTGGTTAATCAGATCCGCCAGTCGGCAGCCCAATGATCAGATCCGCCGTGCGGCAGCTGGTTGATCAGACCCGCCGGGCAGCAGCTGGTTGAATCAAATCCACCGTGCGGCAGCTGGTTGATCAGATCCATATGCGGCAGCCGGATGATCAGATCCGCCGTGCGGCAGCTGGTTGATCAGATCCACCGGGCAGCAGCTGGTTGATCAGACCCGCCGGGCAGCAGCTGGTTGATCAGATCCGCCAGTCGGCAGCTGGTTGATCAGATCCGCCGGGCAGCAGCTGGTCGTTCAGGTCCACCGTGCGGCAGCTGGTTGATCAGATCCGCCAGGCGGCGCCGAGCGGCGCCCGCGCTAACCGCCGGCCGGCGTTGATCCGGCGGCTGCAGTAATGACCCGGGCCCGGCCGCCGGCGCCGGCCAAACGACCTGGTGGCGTGCCGGCCGCCATCCAGCCCGGCGCCGGGTCAGGTGACCCAGACAGGTGCCACCCGAGGCCCCGCCCCTCCCTTCCCCCCTGCCCATACGTGACGCCCGGCGGGTCGCGCGCGGGTCGGCTCGGGTCAGGAAGGGTCGCACGCGGGTCGGCTCGGGTCAGGACGGGTCGCGCGCGGCAGGCACGGCTGAATGCCGGTCCGTTCTTGTGCGGCCGTGTCGGTGTATTCGCGCATCGCACCCGCGCTGCATTCCATGAACTCCGCCTTGCTGCGCCTGGCAGGTGGCGAATCTAGCCGGCTGCACGGGCTGTGTTCAAAGGTAGCGCGGAGCATTTCGAGCCTGGAAAACGCGGAAATTTTGGCGAGGTCCAGAGACCGCAGGTTAGCAAATTTGTCACGAGAACGGCGATGTAAGAAACATAAGATAAACGTGGATTGTGGGACAGCGCTACGCTCATGCAGCCCATATAAGGAAGGCAAATTAGGTTGCAAAAGGACAGACTGCACGTTGGGATTTATAGATGCGTGCGCCGTGGCCATGTCCGTATCCATTTATCCACACACCTTACAAAACGACCTCGTTCCCCTGGCAATAACTCCGCTACGAAATGCCCTGCCTGCCCCGCCACCATACAGGTACTACACACCTGCTGCGCGCAGAATCGATAGCATATAACCTCGCCATCTATCGCAGATCTTAAAGCAGGTGCTTTCAGAGTTAAGTGAGTTCGTTCAACAAATAAGACTTTGTTTGGCCAGATCGTTAAGAACGAGCTACCAATGCTGCGTGGACCCCGGTCAACCCACAACTCACCGTCCAGCCCGCATGACCGAGCCGATGGTCCAAATGCTGCGGGAATCACGTTCACTACATAACTCACCGTCCGCGCGACGTCGTCGGGCCGGAGCCCTTAATGACGTCACACACATAACTCACTATTTGGCCGAGTCGTTCAGCTGATACTCGTTGGAGCGTCCGAAGCATTCCTGAACGCCGGTGTCCATCCAGAGCCGCTTCATGGCCGCCAGCAGCTCGTCGCTGAATGGCTCTGTGTCCTCCATCCGGGAGATGACGTCCATCACCATCTTGGCGTCCGGCTGCCGAGAGAAAATAGCGCCGTTTTCAGTGTGGAGACCTGCATCTCATTGTGGGAGCGCCGCGTCGAATGTGAGCTGTGGGTGACGAAATGTGAGCTGTGGGTGAGAAAATGTGAGCTGTGGGTGATGAAATGTGAGCTGTGGGTGACGAAATGTGGGCGGCTTGAACACACGTCACGACCGAAACTCGACACCAACAAACACATGCACGGAAGATGTAGCCAAGCAGACAACAGCAAACAAACCCACTTCGCACAAGTCTCCCCCAGTCCAAACGCAGACATCTCCGTAGTCATGTCTACCGCACGGTCTCCTTGACCTAGGCTTCAGCACATCGGAAACCAAGCTTAAGGGGATCGGATAGGATAACAAATCGTTACTGCCTTGAATGCGTAGACAATGCATAGACGACACATTCTATTACTTGCTCCTTTTCCTGCTGTCGAGCGTTTGTCGAGCGTTTTCCCTTACCGCAGCGATATCTATGCAGACGTCGACTTCTGGAATACGCCTTGTGGAAGGTGGGTACGCGGTATGCCGCTTTTGATTATCTCACTATTTTAGTACATAGCGTTACGCCCCATAAAACAGCTCAAGAGCGTCCAACTTTAAATTGTGCAGCGTGTGCCTGAGTTAAAAATGCATTTAAGAACCCGACTTTTCTGTCCGTTCTGGTATTGTTGTACCTAATCTCTTTTTAACTGTACATGACTTCCGTGCGTGAAGCTCCCGCCACTCCCACCCTCCCCCTCTCCGCTACCGGCGTAGGATAGCTCGATGCCATCGCTCCGATAACCACTCACTCCGGCCCACTCCGGCCCCCCGCCCACCTACCCCGGTCGCTCCGCCCCCGACACCCACCCACTCCGTCCCCGACACCCACCTACTCCGGCCCGACACCCACCCACTCCGTCCGCGACACCCACCCACCCCGTCCGCGACACCCCCCCTCCGTCCGCGACACCCACCCACTCCGTCCCCGACACCCACCTACTCCGGCCCGACACCCACCCACTCCGTCCGCGACGCCCACCCACTCCGTCCCCGACACCCACCTACTCCGGCCCGACACCCACCCACTCCGTCCCCGACACCCACCTACTCCGGCCCGACACCCACCCACTCCGTCCGCGACACCCACCACCCCGTCCGCGACACCCACCCACTCCGTCCCCGACACCCACCTACTCCGGCCCGACACCCCCCACCCCAGCCCGACACCCACCCACTCCGTCCGCGACACCCACCCACCACGTCCGCGACACCCACCCCCTCCGTCCGCGACACCCACCCCCTCCGTCCCCGACACCCACCCGCTCCGGTCGGCGCGTCGCTGGCAGCCAGTGGAGCGGTACGCTACGCAATGGACAGGACCCGGGGAAGCGCCGCATGCGAGGCGCAGTCGTCTACATATTCCACCGAAGCGGTGCGCGCTATCGTGCAGGCGGGGACCCAGTACTGTCGTGCACAAAAAGCTGCACCGGAGCAGCCGTCTAGCTCCCGGCCTGGGCATAAAAAGCTAAACAAAAACATTACACAAAAACCAGATACACACACTGATGCGCCATTGCATAAGCTCTGCAAGAAGAAGATTTAGAAAAAAGGGCTTTCCAAACATAAATATAATTATTTTCCCACCCACGCAACTCGCGGTCCGTAGCAGAGCCGCTACTTCACACAGACGTGGACTCATACTGGCGCTTAACTGTATGCATCACACAGATACACAACCACCCTCAAAACGGAATTGCAGATTTGACATGAAACTACCAAGATAACAGGTACAGTTTCATTTCATGTTTACAGACAGCGCCGTTAACCAGCATGCACAACAGTGCCGGTCCGGCTTGTAAACGTTTACAGTTCCGCAGGCTGACACAAGACGCGGTGTCGCTGCTGGCGCTGTAAATTGTCTCCCTGATTATTATTGTAAAATACCCGGAGCTCACACCGGCGATCGATCGAAGACGGATGTCGTCGCTCATTTCTGGTGCTGCGATCCGACCCGGATAATGCCCCACCAACGCCATCGCCAGGCGATTCAGAAATAAACAGGGCTGACTGATGTAAGACTTACTGAAATCACCGCCGCCGCTTAAGCGGACATCGGTGCGAAACTTAAGCAATTTCCAGAATGTTCCTTCAGACGTGCTCTGGCGTCGAATGATCGTCAAATTTTATCTGTTCATAAACGATGACAAAGCCTAAAACATTCCGCCCCACGCTAAGGACGGTCAGTGACAACGCAGCTCGCCGGGAGCCAGCAGCGTTTGTGTTCTGCGTGCGCCCGTATCACACGCGGCACGCATCATTTGCACAAGCCTTGCAGCGTAATTTAGCAGCAATGAAACGCGAGAAAAGTACAGGCACATGGGAAATGTGGCGGGGCAACAAACAGTCAACCCGCCTGAAGGCGTCTGTCACCGCCAGATCAGCTGGACGTTGGGGCTTACGGGAGGTGAATGGGCATGACACGATAGGAGCTGAGCTCTTTCCATTCGAATTATGGTCAGATGTCACACACGGTGTCGATTCCCAAATTTATTGCTACAACTGGATCAAAGGACCTGACAGGAGTGTTGCCGCTGGACGTAGTGAGCGGCGATACATGAAAAGCTGCGTGTGACACATTTAGCAGTGATAAGATGCAATTGTAGCCTGCCATCGTCGTTAAGCCTCCAACACGGATCAGACAAAAGGAGCAACTATCTCCCCTGAATCCGGCCGCTAAAAATCCACCAGTTTTCCAGATCACGCCCAACGCATGACAGCGGTCACGCCGGAGACGCCCGGAGAAAGGCAATGTCTCGCCCGTTCGCCAATAGATGGCAGTGGCTGGTGCAAAGGTTCACCAGTAGATGGCAGTGGTCCAGATGGGGCGGGTCTGGCCGATGGCCAAGGCGGGCCACACGGGGTCGGCCGATGCCCGAGTCGCCGACGGCTGTATTTGTTATGGCGGTGGGCGGTCGAGGGGGCGGTGACCAGGGACCGATTCGCCTAGAGCGCTGCCAACGGACGCCAATGACGCTGGGGGGCGCCGTGATGGCTTCCGGAAACGGACACAGCATGAGCAGTATTTGACGGCGCAGAGCAACTATCCATTCGCCGTCCCTGCAAATGACACCGCGCCTCCGCCCGTCTCGCTGAACCACGACTCCAAAGTGCCAACCGATAGTGAGGTCACCTGGTTTCTCCATACCCACTTGTTATCCATGATCTGACCCACAATCACCTCTGTAGTCCTGCCAAGCTCGATGGCAGCACAGCTTAGTCCAACTTAATTCCAATCAATACGAAGCACGCACATTTCGCAGGTGCCATTCCACTCTCATCGAGCTGTGGGGATCTTCATTCCGACTGCCACTGTGGATCTGATACGGACAAGGCCCTCATTAAACTGTGGGGATCTCCACTCCGACTGTCACTCCGGCTCCGACACGGCTAGTCTCTGGGCACTCCCGCAGGAGGCGTGAAAGTAGCACGTGCTCCACCGCTGATGAGCCGCGATGAGTTGCACGTCACGCCATGTGTAACGTTCACCTGTCTTAACACGACGTTGTGAGAACAAACGTTGACTTGACACCGTTCGGTCCTTTGTCGTGAGCACGGGTAGCTGACGCACAGCTGAACTGTAGCTGTTTTAGCAAACATCGTGAAAGTATCACGTCAGCATGCGTGGCATCGCATCACACACCGTAACCAACTTAGCAGAAGATCCTAGTTGTTTCCGTTTGATTTGAAATTTGCCTCAACTTTCATGTCAAGTGCTTCTAGCATGCTGGAACACGCTTTTCAATGTAAGAAAGACAAAAGGCGCTCCCAAGGTGCTGTACCTGATCCATCGTCAACGCTACGTTCCCACCTTGCCGGGAATGTTGGAAGGGCGTGAAGAGGCATCACTGTCAACGCAGCTAGATGCATTCGCAGGGCCAGATAGGCTAAAAAGGTTAGACTATGAGGATAGAATACCTGACAACTGTTTCTTTCGAATTTTCAGACGCTTGGGCAACCGATCGCCTTATTTAAATAAGGCAGGCATATCTCAGGTAGGTAAAATATCAGGTATACGCCCAGAGGGGAAGGTGAAAATGTATTGCCACATGTCGACAGGCGTGAAGAGCGTTCAGCTATTAAGAACCCGTCACATCGGCGGAAGCATCCGCCGTCTCACAGCCCACCCCTGGTCCGCCATGACACGCGTATGAGCGATTCCGACGGCCTGACGACCGGCGGTGACGTCAGGCGTTGGCGGATGACGTCAGCACCGGGCGGTGACGCCATTCATCAGGGCGAGGCGAAGTCGAGGGTCCTGGTGAAACAGAGACGAGGTGCGACGAATGCGCGGCTTATTTGGGTAGTGATTGTCAGGTGGTTATCTTACTTGGCAACAAGCGTCACGCACCTAACCGTTAGACAAAACGGCAGACACTGCGTGCCAGGAGGATGAAATAATCCACAGTGCTGTGTCCGAATCGGCAACAAACCAGGAGTTACTAACAGTTCTAGTAGTTCAGTCAGCACTGCACCAGAAATGGGGAGACTGTGGTTGGCATAGGTAACGGGGGGGGGGGGAGGGGGAAGGGGGATGGCAGCTAGACCGGGACCCAACCCAACCTTTGTGAGTTTACCATCTTTTTCATTATGATGCGCATGACACCGACTGACCACAAGAAGTGACTGAGAGCATCCACTTTTTGAGCTGCTCCAACTCAGGCCGTATTGGCATCCACATCCAGCCCAGACAGGCTAAATGCGTATCGCCATATAGCCTGACAGCGTAAATAACAACTGAGCACATTGCTGGTTATGCCGAGACTAGATACAGGTATAGCTGACATTCTTACCCATAAGTTATACCAGCACCATATAGCACCACCGTTTTGAGTTAAAGACATCGCCGCCTTTGGTGCGTGTGGCCGGAACACTTCGACGTTTTTCCTTTAGCTACGGAGTGTCGCCCGGGTGGCCATTTTGTGGAGCTGCACAACACGTTAAAAGTA